AAACTTGCATGGTCACCACCTCTACAAGAAACATGCAATGGACAAACAAAGGTGACTGAGAACAAAACTAACATAGAATTTTTCCCCACAAGCCCACTTATTCCTCAAGGACCCTGGAATCTTCTTCTTGTCCTCTCAAGCTACTACTGATACAATCTTTATTGTTTTACTAATACTACCTTCAAATGTCATAGTAAGAAAACAATTCTTTGGACGTTGCAAGTATCCATAATGTCTCGCTTACATCTATCTCCAATATTTTCCATCCTGCTGGTCTCTATCATGTAGTACGAGAATCAAAAACACAAACAGTTTACTTTGCAAGAGAATACTTTGGCCTCTGCTACTTAATGCCTCTTCTACTACTAGTTCATGAGATTAAATATAATGTTAAGATATTTATGAATAACCTCCTGGATATATTTGTGCACATCTTCTTTGCAAGAAAATAAGCAAGAAGGTTGGTATATAAATGGGAAGGAGAGGGAGGAAATCAGTTGATACCATTTCTGTTGGCTGGTTGGTTGGCTGACCTAAAACAAATACAATACCAGTAGTACATCCTACATTGATTTACCAAGTTCATGATTGATGCTCCAGATATTCTTTTTCTCTGGGCCCTCCTGCACTGAATCCTCAACTTACTTGATCCAGTACCTGGGAATTTCATTTGGCCCATTATCCCACTGCCGTTCAAAATTTTGCTGAACAAACAACCTAGTAATGAGGGCGGGACTGATCAAGAACTGGTGCAAATTGCTCTACAGAGAGAAGAATGCAACTCATTTGCAAACTCAACTTGTATCAAAATAAAAATAGAATCCATTTTGTGTTGAAACACGTACCAGTAATCAGCATATACACAGGAAGCAACCAGTAGTACTATTGCAAGTTTTGATACATAGGACCATGTGGAGTACTTTGATGATAGTAGCATACTATATGGAGAACACTGATATAAGGTTCCAGCAATATGGATGAGTCACTGATACAGATACTACAGAGGACACTGGATACAGATGGATTATCATGAATCACAATTTTTGACAGTTTTTGGAATTGATTTTTGTTCCCCCCTGACCACAATTCTGGAATTGCAACTCAAGATTTACATATGTAAAAAATATTACTCTCAAATAATCTTGGTGGAATCACTATCCTGGAAAAATGATTCTGCTACCATATGCTTTTGAATTTATGAGATGGCCAGGACCCATTGCTACCTTACCAATGAAAAAATAGTCACTATTTTGTATGATGAATGAATTCTACTACAAGTGCTTTTGTTCAATACTAAACTTCTTCCACAACAGTCCCCATGGTTCCCACAATTAAATTGTTTTGGGCACACCACTTTACAGGCTCATCAGTTAGGTTTCTGAACCTTTCACAAACATAAATGTCATCCATCATGGTAACATCAACCCTGGTGGGTTCCTAGTCAGTTGGTAGTATAACTCTACCATTCTTCCTTCTACATTCCACCCTGAACCGTTCTCTCATCTGTTCTTCAAACAGCTCTCCTGTTTGAGGGTTCGCTTGGAGTTCCTTAATCTCAGCGCACAACTTGTGGTACATTAACTTCCCCTCTGGAGCCAACCCATCTCTCCTACTGCTTCTTGCACCACAGAATCTCTTCTGTTCCAACTTGACCCACCCATCTCTTTTTCTCAGGAAAGAGGATTCCCACATGTGAAGTTAATTGTGAAGCATTAGGAGTGCAAATGCCTTGTCCTCCACACTGAAAATGCTACTGAGCAAGTGCTCTGTTCCTTTTGTATTCCCGTTGAAATTGTTATTCCTAGCATTAACAGATGCCAAAATTCTTGTAACAAAATAATAAAACTACTCTTGGTAGCTATGATTTAAAATCTATACAAATAGTATTGCTGTAGATAAAGGGAGGATCATGTGTTGGATCCATTCCTCTTACCAAGAATAGGAGGCAATCAATTCAACCAACTGTAACTGAATCAATCTAGTCAATTTGTGAATTGATTGAGTATCTAAGGAAGCTGCTCAAGGCAAGCTGTCTGGAATCCAAGACTCTCCACCAGTAGGATTCAATATTCATAGGTCCAGAAGGAGTTGACTTGCCAGCAAGCCCAGGGGATTCCTCTGGTCCATTGCAGTTACTTGCTGAATCCAGCTCACTTGCTGGAGACCATTGAGGTGTTGTTGTTGCTGTTTGCTGTTGCCTAGTAATCATCATAGTTGCCATCCAAACTGTATCCACAGCGATCAAAGGTAGCATCAACCCCTTTGATAGATCTTCCTGTCTCCCTGTAGATGGCTGCTTCAAGATTGCTGGTAGTCCAATTAGACCGTGCCTCTCTAGATATGGCTGAGACAAGAACACAGATCTTGAATTCAAACAGCCCATATTTGGGCTGGTATTGAGGACAGAGGATAGATCTTAATAGAGTTGGTTTGGGTCAGGTCTAATAGCAACCTTTAGACCCACCAAAGTGGATAGATGAGAGCCAAGATAGTCCCACAGGAGGATCCTCTCCTTATCAGTATAATCACCAGGGACTGGATTGATTCCTGTTATTAGAGACTGGCAGACGTAAAATTTAGCACATCTGTAACAACATTTATTGTGTTTGATAGAGGTCAATCTATGATGGAACTCGTCAAGATTCAAAATTTTGAGTCCATTGAAAGACTCAACAGAAAGGCCCACCAAAATTAAGACTGGACCAACCTAAAATTAAGACTCTTTTTTTCTAATCAACAAGAGAGGACGAGCAGTGGCACCATGGCACCTCTGTAAACTATGGAGACACATAAACAATGCCCTGGTCAGTGCTCTAGTCAGTACATTCTGCCTATTTCCTTTCTTTGTCGCAGCAAAGAGAGCAAAAATACAAGGAGGACAAGGAGGCTGGTGACCTCAAAGAGGGAGCTCATTGTGGCCCAACCAACCTCAACAATAAACAACAACAAGAGGAGGCCCATTGTCCCATCCCCCACACTACTTTTGTATTAAACAACAAGGTGGCAGGAGCCCGGAAGGTTGGAGTAGCCATGATGACAGGCTTCCCATTAGTCAAGACAACTGGGAAAGTTGTGGCCCTTCTTTAGAAGTATGATGCAGCTGTAAAGAGGATCAAGAGCTCAACTGGGAATCCCAAAAATGGCACGTCAGACCCATATCTTAATTGGTCAGAAGGAAAAACTTGGTACTGGGGAGGAAGACTTTGATCTGAAGGAAGGCTTTATCAAAAGTGAAGCTGTGGAGGGTTAAGCAACCACCAAAACTGGTGTCCCTGCCGGTATTCTTGCTGAAGTAGATGAACAACCATTGGTTGTTCTTACTGGAGAGGAAGCACCAGTAGCATCTTCTGGCAAAGCATCTTCTGTCTTGACACCTCCTTCACTTGTTGTACAATCAATAATTCCTATCCCTAGAAAGAGATCCTACCAGCAGAAGAGTGTCCCAGGTGCTGCTGCATTCAATGAGTATATTAGGAGCCAGCCAAAAAGAGACAAAGAGAGTTGTGAGATGTGAAAGGGAACCATTGGGGTTGCAAAGGAAGTTGCAAGGGATTTTCTAGGAGCTGCTCCTGTTACCAGCATATTCAATCAGTGGCAACAACACAATGGTGCTTCCCACCATCCTTTACACCATGGTCCTCCTCCACATGCAAGTCCTCCTCTGCATGGTCCTCCACCACAAAATTCATACGTGTCCATCCCTCCTCAGCCTAAGTACACCATGCCACAGCCTCCTCTGTGCAAATGACAACACAAGGAACAGGAATCCCATGGTGAGGAGAAGGAAACAGGCATTCTTTAACCAATGATTCAACTTAAACAAAACTGCTTACACAATACTACACTAATTGAATAAAATGAGCTCACTAGTTTGCTTGAGCAGTTAGCAACAACAGTTCTTTGTTGTTTGAGATGCTGTGGATGCCGGTACTTCTTGTTCTTTGATATACTATACTGTAATGAAGAATATTGATTAAACCTTTAAGATGGAGCAATGCGTTATAAATCAAAATGCAGTGATGAGGACTAAAAGATACAATTTTGTAGAAGCTGGTACTCTAATTGTTATTGAAAAGCAGAATCAAAAGCAGCAAATACCACAGCCACAGCAGCACTAAACGCAGCAAATACAGCAAGCTGTTGGTAATTCATTATTTGAGTACTCGGAAAAGTGTACTGCATTGATTAAACTAAATATTTGCTGCTAATTTAATGTAAAGAAAAGGAAAAACAGCAAGGGGGGACAATGGTGGGTAACAAGTGTAGATTCATCACTGATGGTGTGTTGAATGATTGCCGTAGTACTAACAATTCGAGTACTAACTAAATTGCATTCTTTTGATTAATCTCTCTTCTTTTCAACTAACCACAGCACCCACTCATCTGGTTGACCATGGGATTCGTCATGAGAACACACCATTGCCATCAAGTGATATTCCTCTACCTACTTTGAAGTACAATGTATTGTTCTCCAAGCCTTGTTGGATACTTGTTCTTCTCTCCAATAGCCTTCTTGTTACTAGTAGCATAATGATCCAGCAATTCATGCTCAGTTGGAACACTGACCATGGCGTCTGGGTATTTGTGAAGGGCAACAAGCATCAATGCAGTCTTTACATCGGAGAATAATTAAGATTCCAAATTCCAACAAATCTGTTGAATTTTTTATTCCCTTCATTATATATGTAATAAAAATGCTAAATGTACCAGTTTGGCACCTTAATAATAACGGGAATCACCCAATAAAAGAAACGAATCCGTCATTCAACGGTCTTGAAATATCGTTGTACAGTACCATTTATTTTTTATTCAATTTGAACCACGTCAATAAATAATACAGTAATTAAGATCTTCGATTTCTGCGAAATGATTTACGATTGTCTCTTCAATTCTTTTTCGAAACCACGACTAAAGAGAAAACTACGAAACGTATCAGTTCTGTACAAGGATACGAGCGGACAGTACAGTACCCTGCTGTACCCAAGTACCGTACCCTGATAGAAGATCGTTTCTGTTTATGTTGTCGTGACCACTTTAAGGTATTTTCCTCATTTCGTTAGAAACTCGAAATCTAAAAGAGTGAAACTAATCAGCAAGAATATCTTTCGAATCGAAGCATGTCACCACCAACAAAATTCTCGGGCCTCAAAGATCTTTTGTGGAAGGTTGGCTCTTCCATGCCCGACCGCAAGCGGGTCAAGGGTGCGACTACGATAACTGTCAAAGTGGTTCCAAACGATGTGCTAGTAGGCAGGAGCCGTCTCGACACGTTCGAGGTCACCGGGACCAACAGAAACAAGAGCAATCTCGAGGGCAAAAAAGTTGCCATCGTTTTTGGAAGAGAAGGTCATCATTTGACCCGAACTTTTTTCGTGCCGAAACTGGCCATGATTTATCGGAATATTACGGAGAAACGCGACGACGTTGAATTCCTGTTTGTCAGTCTTGACGAAACAAAAGAACAATACGATCGATTCACAAAATCTATGCGTAAGTCGAAAGTCAACGGTCTGAACAAATAGGAAGATTACACCCATGCTTACAACACATTGATGTTCCTTTTGTCTCTTCATCTACTGATATAGCGTGGCCGGTTCTTCCTTGGGAAGATAAATATATTGGTTCGCAATTGATCAAAGCTCTGCATACGCCTTTGAAAAAAGATACGGGTTACGGGCAGCAAGCCAGTGTAGTTATTGTCGATTCCGATCATGAGACTTTTCTCAATACAGATGCTGAGTACTACATCTCAAAAACCCACGAAACTACCGGGGCGGAGTTTCCATTCAGAGTCTCTGCTGCCGAAAATTGCTGTGCTGTGGCGACAGCTACCATGATGTGTACAATTATGTAACAGTCTGAAGAGAATCGCCATCGAAATGTTCTCATGATGGCACTCCATGTCAAGATAGTTGTTGTTCTACAGAAGTGAATTTCATTACCAAGTTTTTTGCTTCAGTACAGTTGCACACAAAATATGTTTTGAAATTTCTGAATCCTTCCTTGGGAGTTATTACCGGTACCTTCCCAGTCCCGTCCCGTAAAGAGGCGGTGTTTAAGATTTCATACTGGTACTTCTAAAAAACAAATATCTACGTACCGTACTGCACTACGCATTGCGGATCAATTGAAATTACTCTACATGCAGTGCGTAGCGTACAGTACTGTAAGTACTTACTTAAAAAAGAAATACAGTACAGTATCAAACCAAAAAAATGTTCATGTGACTTTTTGTTGGGAGGACGGCAGGTTGTTGTGATCAATTTTTTGTATGAGTACTAGGGTACCGGTACTTGGAGGTACGAGTACTGTAACTAGAATCGTACCTCGTGACTAGTACCGCACTTTTCGATCCTCCGCAGAATAAAAAATAGCGGAACCAAAAAATGAAAAATAGTTACCAAAACGCAAATGATGAATTTGCGATCGTCGACAACTACCAATGCTGGCACTCCGTCTGGCAACCGCCGATTTCGCAACAAAGGACTGAACAAACTTCCTTATCGTTCGACGACGACGAAGAATCATGGGTCGAAAAGACGAAGCAAAACATCGTTTTCCATCGCATTGGCGTTTGTGTTGGTTTTGATGACGCAATGCTGGTTCCTGATCTTCTCCTTCAAGATTCATAGCAAATACAATCTGGACGGCAATCAACCGATCTGGACGGTCTGTCCCAGTGGCAGCACTTCACAAGAAAGGGAGGAACACATTAAGGAGAAAGATATTTGTTTTATCACCTGCATCTTTGGTGGAAATGTCGTCGACGTAGATCAACCAGCGAACGTCGAATTTTTCAGGAATCACTGGTGCCACACACGTTTTTTGTTGGCAACAAACCTTCCCGACTTACCGGCTCCCGGCTGGACCAAGATTATATCTGAGACGGCGACGAGAGAGAGAGATGGCAACAAGATAGATAATATTAATTCAAAAGCAACATCAACAGAGCAAGAAACATCAAGCAACAACAAAAGCCAACTCGATGTCACAAAGAACCACATAGTTCAATCACGTCATGCAAAGTTTTTAGCCTGGGATGCATTATCAGATATCACTCCGAAGTACTGTGCAGCTGTGATATACATGGACGGGTATCTGATACCGAAGCGTTTCATGAACTGGCGTTCTTTTTTTGGTTCCCTCTTCTTTTCACCACCATGGTCTCCCTCATCGCCCTTATTTGAATGGTTTCCCCGGATACCAGGTGATAAGAGGAGTCCACCAACACAAATACCACCACCGGAAAAATTCCAAGCCGTTGTCCGACAGGTGCAAACTCATCGATGGGGTCTGTCACAGGTGAAGCAGCGATACTTTGACGGTTTGCCCATGACAACCTTGCTGAAGAACCTAGTGCGGGATCGAAAGGATACAAAAGAGCACGTGGCGAAGACAATAGAGTGGTTTCATTCGCAGGTCACTAATTTTGAGGAAATAATGCCCTATTATCTGAACAAATACTTTGGTGAGTGATTTATTGGTAAATTGATTGTTTCATGAATCAATTATCCTACATTCCATACACAAACCGCTGCATGAAATCATCCGCAAGATTTTAGTCTGCATCCCATATTTGTCACCTTCGTTTTCAATAAGTTGGTATTTCGCATGCAGAATGATCGAGAATCAGATAGGTATACATACTCACACAACGTATTTTATTGCACAAACAATGAATGAATGTGCTATGCACAGCGTACGATCCCAGTAATCAAAAATATCGTGACTTGAGCTCCTACTTTTGGGAAACCTATACAACCTACGGGGGTGTGTGGAGGGACCAGCCCCTTTGGGCTTACACATTGCATCGTTTCAACGTAACGCCCGCTGTTATGACCACAGAGGGAACCATTACCAAGGGAGGTGATTTGTTCCAAACTGGCGGGAAATTGGGTTGGGGAAAACACGTGTACGTCTAGCTCCCACGTTCAGGCCAAAAAAGGAGGAGAAGAAAGACACAGGTACGCTGCGGATATTTTTGACGTTGCTGAGGATGGCTGCAGGAATCAGCGGTGCCGTCAGCCGATTTGGCACGTCTCATATCAGCGTAGCAATGCACATTGATAATTCAGGTTAAACCGTAGCTCTACGACTAAATGCAGGTAGAGATTATCATAATTCAACTACATTTATAACAGAGGGTAGCCTTGTAAGTTCGACATCGAACCAAATAATTTTCTGAAAAATCGTGTAGTCTTTCAGGCGAGCTTGTGTAGGAAAGGTCAATAGGAAAACTGACCTTTCATTCGAAAGCGGAATCTAACATACGCTTCGATGATCGATGTCTTCCAATTATCAACCTGTTCGTCCATACATTTCCATCCAATTAACTGGACCCGGGAATACGAAGCTGGTCCATGTATCGCCACATAATGCTTGGAGACACCAGGTTGTCCACTTCGTGCACCAAACCTTGTCCAACTGACGCCGATCTCAAGATCTTAGCACTATTGAGTGTCACACCACCGTCTTCTGTCCCTCCAAATCCAAAAAAGCCACCAGTGACAGACCTTTCAATCGGGACCTCACCTCCGACTGTCAAAACCCCACCTGCTTCAAAGAGAGCCTCGGACGTAACGGGTTCTCCAATGACGTGATAAGCCGCGATCTTTTGAATTGTTTCGAGGTTACGTTCGTCCAGTAACTGGTTTTGTTTTTCTACGTCCATGTTTTGCAAGGCCTCGACGCTCGGAACAAAGACGGTGAAGCCCGGTTCGTTTCCTTCTTCAGTGTCACCAATGGCCTTCCAGATCTCTTCGTTTTTGTCCAGTATTGTGTAGAAGTCCGGGTAGTTGTTCTGGAGAAATTCGCGAATCAAGAGGAGATCATTATTCTCTGCGTAGCCGCCATCGCTGTAGCTGCCATCATCGTACGTGCCTTCTTCATAGCTTCCCTGATTGTAGCTTCCATCATCGTATGCAAAGACGGTGGAGCAGAAACCTGCAGCGCACCGTTGTGGATGATACTGATGTTGAAGAAATGGCGTTGTCGTAAATCCTTCGGAGAGCGTCCAGCCAATCGCAGACACGAAAAAACTCAAAACTGCACTCTTGGTATTCAACATCCTCGTGCGTTCGTCCATTAGTTTATCAATGATTAATGCGAAGCTTGGTGGCTCAACCAGAATTGATCATACACTGCTAGCACTTGGTATGTTATGAAAACATCAGAAAATCGATTTAACTGAATTTCTGTACATCGTAGTCATACCGTACAGTGGCGACTGGGCTGGCAGGTTGAATGACAGAGTTGTGGCATCCATAACAGATGCTCAAATTTATTTTTTAGAGAAAAGTGTCAACATCCGATGATGTCATCTTCATTCTGGCCGGCCGATTTTGTCTTATGGATCAATCAGTTATTAACCTTATTTTAAGGTTTATTAGCTCGACCTGACAGGCGCGTAGATGAGCTCGGCAAGCGACGATTCAAAAACAAAAACATTATTGAACGCACCAGATACAGACGTACTCAAGGTCTTGGAACGTACGTACTTAAGGTCTTGGAACGTACGTACTTGATCGAATAGAATCTCATCGTGCGTGGTGACTTTGGGAGACATGAATTTGTGATGGCAAACCCAATCAGAAACGCTCTCAGAAGAATTTGCGCGTGTGATAACGGGCACGGGTATTGTAACCTAACAACACTGATGAAAAAAAAAACTGAACAAACAAAAAAATGCCTCCGTTGTTGCCCTCGCGCCTTTGCGTTCTCGAACATTATTGAATCTCGTAAGTAGTTGACGATTCTGCTCGAAAAGTTCAGAGCGTGCGAAGACCAGGTATCGATCGTCTCCCGTGATTATCGAGCAAGGGAGATAACCACTTTTTTCTTTTCATCACCACCCCAACGATTTCCATAACCAAGTTGTTCGACGATGAAAATTTGTGGTAGTATCGTGATCGCCTCTTTGGCTGCAACGGCTTCGGCCTTCGCACCCACCTCGCTGTCTAGTAGCAGTCGGAGCAGTGCATTGCATTCCTTCTCCTACGACCCGAACGGATCAGGTGGATTGCCACCTGCCTCTCAAGCGCCTGCTCCTGCCGCTGCAGGATCTGGTCGAGAGAGCCCGATTGACGATGACTTCTTGAAAAAGGCTCCAACTGCAACTCGAATCCAGGGGGATACCCTCCGAACCTGGGACTTCGCCAACCCAGACACGAAACGTGTCCAGATCGGAGCAGAGGGAAAGAGCGGACGTCCCATGCATTCACGTGTGGAATACTGGCACACCCCATCTTATATCCCCTTTCAGGTTACTGCCTACACTGAAGATGGTTTGGAGCGACCCATCGATTGCATCATTGAAACACCCAAGCACCCCAAAACCATTGCTATGTTCAACACAGCTTCGCAACAAATGCCCTTTGATGCCGCCGCTGATGACACACGCATGATCTCTCCCTACGATGCGCTTGCAAAGGGTCCCGATGCTGCCCATTGTGATGTGGTGCAGGGTGGAGGAATGATCAAATACTACAATTTTGATGCTGACGTCGAAAGTATCCAGGTGTACATTCGATCGCCCGAATACAACATGAAAGCAAAGCTCGAAATTACTACCGGACCAAACAGCGTGAGACAAACCTACGAAGTGTACTGCTCGTCCGGGTACAAAACACCATTTTATACCGTCATTCAGACGCCGGGAATGCAGCCAAGTACTCTGCGAGTGATCAATCAAAACACCGTCGAATTTCCCTTCGACGCATATGTCCTTCCGTACCGGGTTGGGGATGCCGGTATGGGTGCCACCAACGAAAACTTGGGATGGGGGGAACAGCCAAGACCAGCCTCTAACATCATGGGGCAGTGGTAAACCAATAAATGATTCTACAAATTTGCAGTGCTTTATTACCGTAGGAAACGAAGTACTGTAAGTGTTTTAGTGATAATAATTGACTGGTTATTCCAAATTCACATTTAGTTCTTCACTGTTGCGTTGAAACATAACCCCAATATCATTTATTCGAACTAAGCTCATGTTAACGGACAGGTCATTGGTTCATGATGTCGACATTCAATCAAGATCGAGTAGGTTTCGCCTCTACGATTCCAATTTTGCTATGATTTTCGTCAGGGAGTAATTTAAGTAGTTGGCCGCTTCTGCTCATCTTCGTACACGGTTGCTGCTGCTTCTGAATCTCTCAACGAGATTTCAATGGCATTAAGTACGTTGATACGATTGGAATTGGTAAGGCACGCAGCTCTCATCGCGACGTCGTTGTAAGCAACGTGGGTTGTTTCATATCGATGCTTCTTCGTTTGCTGTTGCCTCTGCGATCTTTGTTCCTCCAAGACGTTTCGAATCCTTTGTTCTCGACGGTGGATTGTGTCGGGCTTCAAAGACAAAATTTTATTTGATCCTGTTAAGAAACACTCGAGGCCTCTTTTGCAGTAGTTAGGGTAAAATGTACATGAAATACTTAAAGGATTATTGAACTGGAATTTTGCTTCCATCAGGTCCAGTGTCACCAAGATGTCCTGCCGAATCAACTCGTAATCACTCTGTGATAACCAAGTCGGCTGTGGTGTCGTCGAAGTTGATATGTACTCATGGATTACCATTATATCTTCGTCAATTCGAACTGATTTCCTCGTTTTCGCTTTCTTGCTTGGTCTTTTAACGCCTTCTTCATGTTCCCGTTTTTCAAGGTGCTTCGATAAAACTTTTCTTCCGCAGGAACACGGGCGATTGGAGACGAATGTCGGCATACTTATGTATTATAAATAGCAAAGATTTGAGATGTGGATTGTACCTTTGTTCGAAAATGTAAGAGGTACGAGCAGAAACTATGAAACAATCCACTAATTTACTTTATCGAATGCCTACCATGACTCGATTCATGGGAAAGCTCCGAATTCAGTGTCTGAAATGATGAGATGAGGCATTGTAATGTGCAGATAAGACAGAACAATGCTGTGGATTTAGAGTGTATTCAACCACGACCAACTAATTTTTCTCGTAATATGCCTAACATTGTAGCTTTTCATGTTGTAGAACAAAAATGTCGAGTGAGGCACGTAGGAAAAAATTGCTAATACTTCCTATTTTTTGTTCTACTGCTACGATGTACTTCGTTCCAAAAAATGTCTACTTCCTCCGGTCCAATATGTGTCATTTTATCACCTTTACTACTGAAATAAGGTCAATACTTGGGTGATTGGAATGCTTCTTTTTTTGCTTAACAAATCTATTATAGTGGTGTACACTTGTGTTAAGTGTGTTAAGTTTATATCATTGGTGAACTCTCTATAGCTATCCAAACACAGCCATTTTTGGCATATGACTGTGATTTCACCGCCAGTTAGGTTCTACCGGTCACTTAAGGGCATCGAATACAGCTTTAGAAAGCTAAGACTGAGAGCTTTATCATGATATTCTTATTGTACTTATTAAGAAGGTTCTTATGTGGTCATAGTGGGTCACTAGAGAACCCAATTATTGCTCGGGCACTTATTCGGGCTGTGCAGTTTTTATGTGTTTTTTTCAATTCTTGCGCTCGAGAACCGATGCGACGAGAAAAAAAGTGCTGTGCGCATGGTGAAAAAATGATCCCTGTGATAATTTTCACTATTGATTTCTCTACACCTCCCACTTTCCTCTTTTCAATTCCTTTCTGTCACTTCTTTCCATTCAGCTGGCTAAGACAAAGGCTTCTTTGAACCTCAACTAAGACCGGCCTTTTCACCTCAAGTGACTCATCGACTCGCCTCGCGCTTCAACTAAGAGGGGGAAGCAATCCACCGACCAAACTGACACGCCTCCACTAAGAGGGGGGAGCGATTCTGTTGCTGCCAACGTGTCACCAAATGACTTGTTGTCTCCACTAAGAGGCACGGGGGGGAGCGCGTCTCCGTTGCCTCAGCTAAGAGGGGGGAACCAAAGGATGGACTCGTATTACGTCTCTGTTGCTTCCCTGTTGCTTCAACCAAGAGGCAGGGGGGGGGGGGGTGCCTCTTGTCTCCTTTGTTTCCACTGAGAGGGGGAAAGCAAAGCGGTGACTTGCCGGGGAGCCCGTCTGCCATCTCCGTTGCTTCCACTAGTAAGAGGGGGGTAGCAAAGCGCCGACTCGTCTTGAGTCTCCGTTGATTCCATTAAGAGGGGGGAAGCAAAGTAACGACTCATCTCATGTCTTTGTTGCTTCCACTAAGAGGGGGGAAGCCCTCGTGCCTGCTTTGGTTCACCTCTGTTGCTCAACAATCAACCATCATTAGGTCATCTCTTTGTTGCTGCTTCTTGTTTTCTTTGTTTTAACTCACTTTTCCTCCCCTTGATTCTTTTTAAAGCAAATCAAACACAGACACAATTATTACGGACGTGACGATTACGGATGCAACAATTACGGACGCAAGAAGGCTACTCCGTAGAAGATTCAACAATTGGTTCAAGTGGATTCATATTGATGAGAAATGGTTTTACTTGAAGAGGACTACACAAACAATGTATCTGCTTGCTGATGAAGATGAACCCAAGTCTACATCAATGTCTAAAAACCATATGACGAAGGTTATGTTCTTGTGTGCCACAGCACGTCCAAGGTATGATTTGCGCTGCAATGCTTGGTTTGATGCAAAAATTGGGATCTGGCCTTTTGTGGTTAAAGAACCGGCAAAAAGAAGCTATGTCAACTGTCCAGCAGGAACCCTAGTCACGAAGCCACAGAATGTAAACAGTGAGGTGTATAAGCAAAAGTTGCTTGAAGAAGTGCTTCCTGCAATCTACGAAAAGTGGCCACAAGGAGGGGATGGGAATCCTCCTCCTGAGATTTTCATTCAGGAGGACAATGCAAAGCCACACAAGCTCTCAATCAGAGACGATGTCGCAAAAGCTGCAGAAAGTGCTGGGTGGAACAATTTGTGTAAAAACGCAATCACCAAACAGTCCAGACATGAACGTTCTTGATCTTGGATTTCTTGGATTCTTCAATTCAATTCAAAGCTTGTAGTAGTACAAGAAAAGATCAAAAGGGATTGATCATTTGATTGAAAATGTAAAGCAAGCTTTTGATGAGTGCAAGTGTGAAACATTGAATAATGTGTTCTTGTCTCTGCAAGCTTCTTGTATGCAAGCCTCACTTGGTGTTGGAGGTGATAATAACTACAAGCTTCCCCATCTTGGAAAAGGAAGCCTTATGCATGCATGTGTGCTCCCAGTTTCGATTATTTGCGAGCCTGATTGCATTGCAGCAGGAAGGCAAGTTCTTGCTGCCGCTTCTGCTGAGGAAGAACAACAACAAGAAGCATCATAGGGATAGTAACAAGTAGTTATAATACGAGTAATAGTGACAAAGGAAGTTCCTGGTAATGTATGTACACAATCCTACATAGGCCCAACTGTAATGACACATATTCAGGACCAGTAAAACAGGGACACAATGACACATATAGTGGACTGGAGGAAGTATATTTTAAACCTTCATCTTGAAATCAAGCTCATGAACAGAAGAATATGAAATTGTGACATTTGCAAGATTTTTTTGAAAAGGGACAAACTAAGACTTTTATTAAAGGAATAGTCCCTTGTTGGATATGGGGAGGGTGAACAAGGCTGGGACTTGAGTATGCTGAATACTAGTACCACTACTACTAGTAGTACTACTAGTAGTAGTAGAGGCGGGCAAATGATGTTGATATTATTGCTCACGACAAATACTTAGTACAACTTGTTGTAGAAAATCTAGTAAAAGAATAATGGTAATGATAAGATGCAATGAAACATGGCTTTCAACATTTGGTGCTCCCCCTCTTCTGCTGCTTTTAAAGAATTACTGTAGTAGTTTCTTCAATTACTACTACTAGTAGTACTAACAATTACTGTGCATACTGGCAAAAGACCAACAATTTGCAATGGGTACTGCACAAAATAAGATCCAATTGTGGTGATGTTACTTCTGGTTGTGGCAAATAGCTAGTTTGTGCACAACAACAAAAAGTCATCAATGGTGACAACTAGAGTGGTGAGTGAGGCAGATGCTGAAAGTGCTCATACTACCTGCACTACTAGTATCCTGGTTGTTGTTATCCTCTTATTGTTGTACTATCAATGCACAAAGAAGGTATCCAAAAGCAGCAATATTATTCACTGAATTAACTCTCTTATTTCTTCACTTCTTTCTGCTCATGTCATGGAAGAAGAACAGCCATACAACCTAATAGTTAGATCAGATTACTATTTACACCAATCAAAAACATAAAAAGACTGCCCACCTTTTGGTTCAATCATTTTGTTGGGTTTATAATGTTCTATGACAATCATTTGTTTAGGTTTGTCTTGGGGCAAACTCGGCAGATTGGCTAAGACTGCCCAGCGAAAACCCCCAGAGTGTTTGAGTGAATGTGAGATACAAAATCAGCAAAGACTTATGCGCAAGTGTCATGAGGTCAAGTCGTTGTCGCCATTGCCATTTCACTTGTTAATAAGAAAAATAGATATGATCTAGACAGACTAATATAATATTAATAGGACTGCACTGAAACTCAAACTAACGGTAGACATGATTTATACACTGACACTCCACTGTGGTGTCGATTTCTACTGCTATGTCTAGCTGTAAGGCTATGTTCTAAAAGTTATAATGAGGAGAAGGTAACAATGAGAAGTATAGAGTAACATCCTTTCCTTAATGGACCCTGTCCGAGACCATCGAGTCAAGTCCTTCAAACTGATGAGAACCAAAAAATTAATTTCGGTTTTCGATGATTCGGGACAATTCTTCCAATGCGGCACAGGCTTCTTGAGCGGCTTCCAGGAAGCATTCGTCTTCTGTGAGCTTGGCGCCGATCGCGTTGGTGTTTCCACGTGCGGCGATTTGTTCCACAGTCTCCCAGGCAACGGCGGCGTTTGGCGAAGTGGTGCCTTCCTCGGCAGTGATGCGACGGGCTTCCTCAAGGGCTGCTTGTAATTCCTTGCTCTGGGGAGCAGCAGAAGCATTGGGAACCGAAAGTTTTACGTTGCTGACAGTCTTGGAAATGTCTTCGGAAAGAGCCGATATCTTGGGCTGGTTAGCCTGGAGCAACTCTTGAAGTTCCTCGAGGGCCGCGTTGTATTCGAGACAGTCCTGAGAGACGACCTCAACGTCGCACTCGTCGTTCAAGTTGCCCATGGATGCCACACTATTGTGTGCGTAATTATTGTTGTTGAGTTAGTTGTTATGTCGTACGTGCATCGAGGAAGGTTAGAAGAAAAGAAAAATGATAGTCCTTCGTAATAATTATGAACTGAAACAAACGACAATTTTCTGAAATTGCTTGATGCCAAAGAATGAATTTGCATCATTCTACGAGGTCTGGAGAGAATGAATTTACGACGCCAAACACCGATACCGTGACAAGAAGTCACGCGATCATAGTTGGCAAAACTCACCTGTTGTCGCTTGCATTTATTTCCTCAACAGCTTCCCATGCCAACCGAGCTTCCTTGGAAGTAGCACCGTACTTGTTGGACAATGCCAGGGCCTCCGCGACGAGAGCGTCGGAACTGCTACGGACGGCCTTCAATTGAGTCGTGGTACGTGGAGAAATCTTCGCGGTAAAGGCTTCAATAGAAGAGGAGGCCAAGGCAGCAACGACAGCAGGTAGAACAAACTTCATTGTGATAATTTGGTCGAAAAGAATTGGCTATTGTAGCGATAGTGTTTTGGAACTGAATTCGAAAGATTTGTGACAACTCGGAACGAGAAAGGAGGCTGCTTGGAATGGTCAAGTCTTGCCTAGTCCAATCTACCGGTAGTACAGAGATATCGCTTCAATCTTTTTTCTTCAGAATGACGAATGAGATCGATCGGTTTGTTCCAAAGAGGATGTTTCTCGAACTCGATGAGAAGACTGATTAGACAGACGCACGAAAACGCAACTCGCAGCTGGGAACCATCGATACAACCAATGAGTGTTCGAGAAAACAGAAAATTAGCAAACTTTTTAAGGAAGCTGCGCGTGGAAGCATTCTGCAATCTGTTCCCCATCAAATTGAGGGGACGACGCTAATCTCTTCTCTTAAAACCGTCTCTCCGCCGTTCGATTTTACGCTTTTTGAATATTCCATGGATGAGTTACGAGTTCGAGTACGAGGTACGTACGAGTACCCGGAACTCCAAACCTACCGTTAGAATCGCTGAAAGACCATTTATCAAAATCGACAAACGACAACTAGATACTAAATTGATTCGATCGACTCATTTATTCGGGGGTTAGTTTTTGTTTTTGTGAAACAACAACCTTTTTTATTCGTGACTCAAAAAATCCTAAAAATTGATCTTCAGATCAGAATTATCTTTTCGACGAAGATGCTGAGGTCAGTTAAATGCATGAAGAAACATGTCGACGAACAAAACTATCTCTTATTTTAACAAAGATATCCACGGCATCGTCACTATGCGAACTGAAGCTCAATCATGATCGCCTGGAACATTTCAATTGCACTGCTTCTTATAAGTTTAGAGAGTGCAACAGCATTCGTAGCTTATACGGATGCACATAGGACCGGCTGTTTTCTCGTCCTTTCATCGTCATCGTCCCACTCGAACGAAATCGAAGAGAGCGAGGACCCATCTTCTTCGCTTTCCAACAACCGATCGAAAAACCGCAGGCATTTCTTTTCGGATGTGTTCTCCCAGTCGGCATCTATGGCAGCAATGTGCAGCTGCTGTTCCTCCCCTCTGCTTCTTCCACAGCCGGCGCATGGTCTCGCCCAGATAACGACGCCCTCACGGGAGGCCATTGGTGCCTTTGACCCCCCTAGAAATGCTTTCATGGACGCCGCGTTTGCCCAGGGGATGGCGGTCGGGATGGTCGATTACGAGCGAGAGGCCTATCCGAAAAAGAAAGAAATCTTCAAAGCATTGTTTTCGTCCCTTCCGAAAAATATCAATAGCAACGAAGAGCCGGTAATTGTGGAGATCGGCATGGGGTCCTTCCCCAATGCACTGTATTATAAGGGCATGAAGGGATTAGACATAATTGGCATCGATCCGAACGATTGGATGGAAGGGTACGCCAAAGATAACGCAAACCGAGCTGGATTGTTGAATGAGGACGGCGACAACCTGCGGATCATCCACGGAGTATCCGAAGCCTTGCCTCTGTTGGATGCGTCCTGTGATGCGGTGGTTTGCACCCTGACTCTGTGTTCGGTTTTGGATCCTGCAAAGTCTGTGTCTGAAATCAAGCGCGTGTTGAAGCCTGGCGGAAAATTTCTTTTTTGGGAACATGTGTTGTCCCAGACGGATCCCGACTTTGCCCGGCAGCAGATTCTGAACACTCCCAACCAAGTGAAGCGCGCCGACGGTTGCCACTTAGATCGTCGTACCGGAGAAACAATCCGGGAGGCCGGATTCTCGAAACTGGACCTGCAATACATAGAACTGAAGAGATTCGGATTCTTGAATCCGACTGTATGCGGAATAGCAACAGCGTAAACAACATTGTTACCAAATGCTAACAACGAATGTATTGGAACACCACAGTGATTATAATCACTTCTTTGCTTTTGAGAAAAAGAAAATCTTTCTGTCTGATATTTTGTTGCTGAGACAGACTTGATTTAAAGTTTTGCCTAGGCAGGTTTGTTGTTGTGCCTTGTGTCTGTAGTCTGTAACGTAGTACGAAGTACTGTACTACTCTAGGAGAACAAAAAGCTATTTCGAGGTACAAACATACTGTAGCAGAGTACAGCAAGAAGTAAATTACTTCGTACTGTACTTTACAGTATCATTTGTTAGTCGATTGAGTCAAATATCTGCTGCGAACGGTCTAAGCTTGGTAGAAATTGCGTAGTGCTGTAGTGACGTTTCGTCGCGTTTGTTCGAAGTTTCTGTCGTCATCTCAGTCGATATTTCAATTTACCTTCGTCGATTTCGCCTGTGGAAAAATAATCCAACGAAAACGTAGTTCCATTACAGAGACTGAGTGAACTTGTCGGGGAAGATCTATCGGGGAAGAATTGGTGATGGAAGAAAGAGAAGAACACAGAGAATTTTACCCGCCTGAACAGACGATACACTCAATTAAAGAAAAGATGGGAACAAGCATGAAAGAAATCATCTGCTTGTTTCTTCTGTGTTTTTTGGTGGAGAACACCTTCGCCTTGTCCCCGGTTGTTGCGCCAAAAAGTGAGTCCACGGTGCCGAAGACTAGTAATCCGTCATCCAAATGGATCGGGGCAGAAAAGACCATGCGAGAATATCATGCTGCCGAGGTCGCAGGTGGAAAAGATGCATTTGGTTCGAAGACTTCAGATGAGAACAACGTTGACGATAATGTTGATCGTTCTTCCTTCTGGAGTGATGAAAACTTTATAACATACAGCATTGGAGAGAACAATGCTGGAATAGACGCGACATATCTTCCAAAGAACGGAAACAGCATCTTCGAAAGCCGATCTTCCGTTGTGACAGGAGAAGAATGCCGTTTTATTGTCGAAGAAGCACGGGAGACCATTGTGCAGGGATTGATTGACGAACGGCAGCAATCCGATGACAACGAACCACCGGAGGACCGTCGAGTGAATGCAATCAGCAACAGCCAGCTGGGAGAAGCCAGACTCTCTCGCATGCCAAAAACACGAGCCTGGTTGAAAGAAGCACTCCAGACCCGTTTCTATCCACTTTTGAAGAATCGATTCGGGGTGGACGACATCGTGTTGTACGACGGACTCGTGCTGGGAAACCTTGCCCCGACGATGTCACAACCCATCCATCGGGATGCCTCTTTGCTGACCATCAATGTTGCTCTGAGCGCCCTCGACGATTACGAAGGCGGTGGAACCTACATCGAAGCTCTCGACGAGGTACTCACCATCGACCAAGGCCACTTGCTCTGCCATGCCGGGAGTGCCATGCACGCGGGAAACGCCATAAGCAAGGGGGAACGGTGGGTTTTTGTGCTGTTTCTGCTAGGAGAACAACACCCCCAGTTGGCGCGGCGGTGTCACGCCGAAGCGATCGAGCACACCCGCCGACAAGAGCTCGACGAGGCCGAAGCAGTCTTGCAGACAGGCCTGAAAAGCATCGCTCCCAACCACGATCACTTGTTGCACAACACCATGGGAAGATTGCACATGATGAAGGGAGAACACAGCAAGGCATTCCGGAGTTTCCAGAACGCCGACTCCGCCTACCCGATCTGCCAAAACGCCATGGTGTCCATGGCGCAACTCTTGGTGGACCGGAGGCGCCCGCGGGCGGCACTCCGCCGGTTCGATACCGTCCTCGAGCGCATCGGCGACCGCGACCTGGATCCGAGCGGCCCCGCGCAGCTCTCGCAGAAATCCCTGGCATACGGGGCAAGGAGAGACGCGGCACGGTGTGCACTGGTCTGCGCCGATCACCTCTACCGAAGCCAGGTTGCGGAGCAGGAAGCAGAAGCCTCGCCGCCAACCCAGTCGACCTCGACGTGGGAGCTCTGGACCCTTCGCCATCTGCCGACAGCGATACAACGATTGAAAACCTGCCTGGCCGCGGCCCCCAACGAGCCAACCCTACTGGGAATGCTGAACCGCGCCGAATTTTTGCTGGCCGAAGCCGAGCCGCAGCAGAAACCATAAGAGTCTCGCATCGGTTCCGAAACGAGGCAACACGGTCCTTGTCCTCGTCCTCGTCCTCTCCCGACTACGACCGTGACCGGTAGGAACTCCACCTGCACATCTTCGGACCCAACGACTCACGATTCGAAAATTCAATAAAAAGTTGTGCTATTTCGTCTTGCGGCGGAAAGCTTCTGACTCAAACGAAAAGCACCGAAAAGATATTCCCGAAACACCACGTATTGATTACCGTACTAAATACACACCCATAGAAAATGATAGAGAGCATACAATGATAAAAAGATAGGGACGTACAACAAAATGCTCTGGGGACTCAGCACAGCAAATCGAATGTTTTCCGTTATTCAAACAGATTTTGCAGTCAAGCCGGCAGCAGTGTATATTAGTATGTTGTGTCATTATGATGATGTTGATCATGATTCCCCTGTTTTAAGAATAGTAGCAGCACGTCCACCATATGTCATTTGTAGCCGCAAGGGAAAGATCAATCCGTTTCGACCTTTTACAGTGGTAGCCCTCTGCTCCATCGTTGTGCCCACACAGTATGTCCGACAGATGGATATGTACAATGACAGAGCTTGCATCACCCGAAAGCTTAGCCGGTGAGTCACCGAATGCAAGAAATGCTTTCATGTTTCACTGCGATTGTCATTGGAATGCAGAAATCGGAAATCGGACCTAGCTGATTGATACGCACGCAATGCTTTTCTGATTTGGTTTCGTTTTGTCGTGTTCCTCATTCTTACACAAGCTTGGATAATTCGTCGTACAGCTTTTCGTGGTCCTCCATTTTCGTGATGACCTTGAAGAGCTCTGGATCTCCGGAAGTTTCGTCAAAGACAGCGGTGATTAGGACGATGGGCGTGGGACCCTGGCTCTTTTTCCCCTGGGCAATCGTTTTCTTGATGGGCATCCCCTTTGTAATGGCAACGTTCAGCTGCACGTGACCCACGGCTTTGTCTCGGACCACCATGCTCGTCTTTTTGGTCTCCTTGTGTTCTTCCAGTTTCAGAACGCCCTTGATGTAGTTGTTGGTTTTCACGCGAAGAATTTTGGTGTTGGCCTTGAAGAGAGTTTTGCAGGGATTGTCCTCCGCCTCCTGCGCGCCATCGTTGTCCGTTTGGTCGTCCTTGTTCTCGCCATCGCCATCGCCCGCACCTGTGCCCGCCTTGGAAGCACTCTCCGCTGCGGCTGCCTCGGCCGCCGCCTTGACGGCCGGGGTGGGAGTCGTGGAAAAACTAAAGGCCGGAACCGGTGCGGCGGAGGCTCCCGTCTTCGTTGGATTGAAGGAAAAGCCTCCCGGAGCGGCGGGAGACGCAGCCGGCTTGCTTCCGGTATTGAACGAAAAGCCGCCGGTTGCCGGGGCCGGGGCGGCCGCGCCAAACAGAGGGGCGGCCGGGGACGATGCGGGAGGTTTCGCTCCGAACAGAGGCCTGCTTGCGTCCCAGCTTGTGCTCGTGCTTGCCGCCGCCGCCGTTTTGGTGGGTGGCTTTGTGCTCGCGGTCGAAGACGACGCCGATTTCGAGAGCTCACGAAAGGTAGCGGCGAAGCGTTCCGCACCCACCGCATCATAGGCACCGTGTTTCTTAGCGTGTTTGAGAAATGCCTGGGCGCATTCGATGAGCTTCTTGTCCTCCTCGGTAGCTTCGGAAGTCTTGCTTGTTCCTGGAGCCGTGGCAGCTGCAAACGTCGTGGCTGGCTTTGGGGGAGCCGCAGCCGGAACGGCAAAGCTCGGAAAGGCCGAGGTTTTCGATTCAGCGGGAGCAGAGGGGATGGGGAGCGTCTTCGACGTGCCCGCTCCGAACGTAAAGCCTCCGAAGGGGTTGCTGCTCCCACCCGCCGACGAAGGTGCCAGTGTTGCTCCCGGAGAGGCGTTCAGCGCGACTCCCGAGAAGACACCGCTTCCGGCAGCCGCCGAAGGTGCACCTTTTCGGACCGCCGATCTGTTTTATTGCGTTGGTGGCATCGAATCGAGAATTAGATCGATCAGTAAGTGGCGTGCGGATAGGTGGGCCGGGTTCTTTTGCTGCATTTTTTCTGTTCCGTTTACACTACTCACCTTCGCCCTCTGACAATTCTTCTCTTCTTCATGACGTCGTCCGATGCCTTTGCGAAAGGACCCGTTGGGACATCCGAGGATGCTTTCATCGAAGCCTCGTAATCCTCTTTCGAGACCTGCGAGAGGTCGTTGCCGCGCTTTCCCATTTTGCTACCGAGAGAAAACTTGCGCTACCACCACGGTTTTGTTGTTGAGTATACAGTATATGGACTGGGATGCGAAGGGTAAAGAGATGACGAAACCGGACTTTCGGGTGTTAGCAAAGAGGAATGAAGCACTGGTTTCAGTCGATTTCTAGAAAGGTACGAGTACCAGGTACAACGTACAACGTACGTAGGTGCGAGATACTGTATTGTTTGGTTTTTGACTCCTGACGGGACGATCGGGGTTTTTGGTTTTTGAATCCAGCAACAAGGGGATTCAGTGAATGCTTGGTGCGCAGCAAAAGTCAGCCGTGCGCGATTTTGTGAGAAGTTACATTACGTAAAAAAGTGAACTTCGTACTTTATTGATTGGTCTGCTTCGCTTCGCTTTGGGCAGTGGAAGTCGAAGTGCATATCGTAGGTCGTACTTGTAGCAGATGGTCAATTGGAAACTGTTCTGGTGCTACATTCCCCCCACGCTTCATGATTAGGTAATGTTTACTCCTGAAGGTCGCCACAAAGTCCATCACGAAAACTTGAGAGAAAACCAACAGCCCCAAGTTGGAAGAAGAAGAAGCAACCTTTTAAATGTTTTAAGACGCATTCTGGATATAAAATTTTCACTCAATGCCCAAAGCAAAGAAGGCAGCAAACATTCTTATACCTTCCCCATGTTCTAGTACCTCATGATTTAATGGATTGTGTTTGTCCTTGTGGAGCATGGTTCACGCTGGCTGACACCAGAGTTGCTCAGGGACATGTCAACATGTGTGCTCTCTTTGTACAGGGGCAGGTGGCAGCATTCAACTATGTTCAGGACAGGCACCCATGGAACATGAATAGTAGGCTAGTAGTTGTACTATGAAAAGCCCAAAATTGTAACCTATCAGAGAAAACTGCATTTATTTTTGCATAAAGAAGCGAGCTCTAATGCCTGCGTTTGTGGGAAGCATTTCAATTTGACACTTCTACATTCTCATTATGCAGACATATTCAAAATTGCTATCCATTATTATATCCATGGTCAGGAATCAATGCAATTTCAAAACAGAAGAGTAGCGGCCTAGTGTCACGCTTTGTCAAAACTGAGAATTTCTTTCCACTAGAGGATAGAAAGAGGTGACTGTATAGATGTTTTTGGTGACGAAAAAGTGGTTGTTCGTTTCCCCAAGGAGAAAATCTCGGTAGTGAGAAAATGGTGACAAGTGAGATCGATGACCAAGCTGCCAGTAGTTGCAACTGCTTGAAGTCATCAGCAGCAATCGGGTCAAATCAATGTGAGGTTTTGCTTGGTTTGGTTTTGATGACAATGCCTTGTTCAAGAACAAGACTTGGCACAACTTGTTCAAAAACTGGTGAAATCTCAGCACAGAGGAAGAGAAAACTATTCTGCACMATGGAGCACTTACTTCGAAAAATGAGTTGCAGTGGACACAGGACAAGTGGGAGCTCAGTGAACCAATTTTCATGTTCAAGAAAACAGGCAACATAACACGATGCAATGATCAAACCAACCCCTCGAGTGGACGAACTGGTGGACAACAAGTTAGATAATGGCACTACTAATGTCGAGTTTGAAACGATCCAAACCCCCGGAGCCGTTTCCGATACAGTGTTGTTCGAGGCCGAGAAATAGGACGTTGCTGGAGGTTCCGAGGCGCCGAAGTGGCGTCCTACCGGGCGGCACCTTGGCCATCCGCCACCGCCGCCCCAAAAGGTTCGCCCCGGAGGTGCGGGGAGTTCAGCTCGTAGACCGGCCAGCGAGAAAGGTCCGAAGGGGAGGGTTTCTCGATCGCGAAAAAGAGCTTTTCGTCGTCCCAGTCAAAGGGAAGGTAGTCCCCGCCCCGGACGGTCATGCCGCAGCGGTCGCCCGAGGGGTGCATCCCGTGGATCGCAACCCCGTGGTCCCCCATGTCCATGGTGGTCAGCAGGGATTCGCAATGGGCCCGGCCCGGCCCCCCCGAGACGTAGGTGGCGCCGTGGACCAGAAAGAGGACGGGCTCGCTCCGGCCCCGGATCGAGGCCTTGGTCACGGCGCTGCAGACGCGGTGGCAGAAGGGTTCGGTTTCCTCGTGGGTGTCGCTGTCGTTGATACTGTCGTTCTTGCCGGCCGGGGGACACGCCGGCGGGTAGGCACCGAGGCGCGCCACGAGTCCGGTCGGGTTTCCCACTTCGAGCCAGGCGTCCTCCGTCACCGTGGGCCGGCGTCCCCCCCCGGAATCGATGACCGCAATGGATCGGCCCGGTGAAGGGGCCGCTGCTTCCGTGCTTGCCGCTGTTGTTGCGGAGGTGGGATCCTCGTTTGGGGGGCAACGATTGTCGCCGTTGCTGTCCGCACCCGGTGGATCCTCCTCTTCCTCCTCCTTCCCGTCGCACCCATCGTCGTTGTTGTCACCACCGTTCTCCTCGCCGCTGCTGATCGGAACGAGCTCCGGAAGCGAGGAGTCCGAGTCCGACTCGTAGAGCTCCAAGGAATCCTCGTCGTCGCCGTCAAAGCCGTCGTTCTCGTCGCAAGCGCCGAGCAGCCCGGGCCGGTGCAGGGTCCTCCCCACCCGCCGGACCTCGTGGACGATCTTGATGCGCTTGTAGACGCCCGTGCCGAGTCTCTCCCCCTTTGCTTCGGGGTCGCACTCGTAGTTCACTACGTGCCAGTGCGGGCAGAGGGGCTCGTTGCGGGAGCCCAAGCTGCCGCCGCCGAGTGCCAGGAGGGCCTCGGCGGCCGACCGCACCTCGGTGTCTTTTGCTCTCGGGGCGATCGCCTTTGGTCGACATCCGGCGCTGGTGGCGGTTGCCGTGGATTCCGGGGGCGTCGCCGGGCCCATGGTGCGATACGAGACGATACGATACGATACGAGTCGAGTCGAGTCGAGTCGAGCCGAGCCGAGCCGTGTTTGTCTCCGGCGGCCGGCTATGGGCAGATTCTTTCCTTTCGGACAGGACCCATAGGTGCATTGGTGTTGCAGAGGCTGTGTTGTGCCAACCCACCCGCTCACCTGTGGGATCCCGGTGCCGCTGCGTACCCCGGAAGCGCAGCGATCTCAAGCATGGTGTKCATCGCAGCGCATCGCATCGCTTCCCATCCTGCGGCAATACCGCATCCAACCGCCGCGGGCTTCGATCCGAAGCCTACGGTAGGCCATTGGCGGATCGGTGAACCCGACGCTGGCCTTTTCCGGAGGAACCCGTGCGAAAGCCCTGCATGGTACGGCACGGCACGGTACAGCACGGCCTGCCAGGGCTCGGAAGCGCCTAGCGCTGCATAGGCTTATTGACAGACAAGAGAAGCCGAAGCCAATCCGTAGGATGCCTAGCATTCGTACGTCCCAAACACGGTCTCGCATGTCTTGCAAGACCTCCGTGGCCATCTATCTAGGCCTACCGTATGCCGTGCCTTCGTGGTTGGAGACGACGCCGACGGTTACGGTAGCCGGTAGCTAGTATCTTTATACGAGTACGGACCCCAGGATGCCACCACGGCGACGTCATTCTCGGATGGCCGATCGGTGTCACGACACGTACTTAACGAGAAAGGCTGTATGCCTCTTCGGGGGAAACGGCCTAATCGCATTTCCGGGTGTGGGCCACCGAAGTTGTGACCACGGTTTGTTGCGGTTGCCGTACAGTACTGTACTACAGTACCCGGCACAAACCATCGATGAAGCGAGGGCGGTCCGTCCGAGAGGCCCGAACCGGGGAACAGATTGGCCTCTTGGCTTGGGGTTGGTTCGAAGCAACGGTCGTGATGACCGTTATGTATTTGTTTTTAGGCGCCCGTCAGGGCCTTTTTGTAGGCCGTAAAAATCACGGCTCGTTCTTCCTTGCACACCGAGGAGGACGCGTTCCTCCGTTCTTGGTTCGCTTCCGGCAAACCGTGTTCGCACAAAACCGGAAGTTCGAAATTCTTTCGCAAACCAGAAGACCCTTTCCGACGCTCCCAAGAAACGACGCATTGCATTTCATTTCCTTGGATTGCAACCAAACCCCGCCCATCGTACCTCTCTCTGTCGCTCTCTCACTCACCACCATGCCCGCACCCACCTTCCGCTCCCTCCTGGTCCTCGCCGCCCTCGCCGCCTCTCCCACCGCGGCCCTGACCACGGCTGCCGCCGGCAACGCCAAGGCCAACGCCGGGTCGGTCGCCAAGGCCGGCCCCATCACCTTTGTGATGGACCCTTCGAGCCTCGGCGGTTCCGGGGAGGCCCCCGGCCGCAACCGCCGCCGGAAGGGCCCCACCGCCGTCCGCATGCCGGGAGCGGCGTCTGCCTCGGCCTGCTGCCCGGACTATCCCTTTTGCGGCTGCCCCAAGCTGGGCAGAGACGGCCTTTTCCCGGCCGAGCCCCCGATCGCCGCTTCCGGCCCGCCGGCCACGGCCTGCTGCGGGGACTATCCCTTTTGCGGCTGCCCCAAGGTCTGATCGGATCGGATTGATTCCAACCGGGACCCACGGCGGGGTTCCGCGCACAAGGCGATCCGAGAGGCATGTGCGGCAGACCCGGACCCTCATTTTTTGCACCATTTTTTTTTCGCGCAGCCCGCCCCCCGACCCGAACACCTTTTGCGAACTCTTCCGGCAGCGGCGAAGGCTTTCGGAGAACACCGCTTCGGGTTGACACCCTATCAACGAAAAGGCAAGTAAGTAACAAGCACAAACACAAACCATCCAAACAAACCTAAGAATCATTGCCATTTTAATAGTGCCACACACCTTGCAAACCGCCGTCATTCCTCTTGTCGTCTGTGTGTGCATGTGTTTGTGCGCGAGAATTTTTTCTGTCGTTCCGGGGAACCTTCGTTTGTGATCCGTGCACACGGTACGTATTTGTTGTTCGCGGGAGGCTGCGGCGAGTCCTGTTTGCTCGCACGAAACCGAACCGATCCAATCGATCGGACGATTTGTGGTAATGTCCTGGAGCTCGGGAAAGGCCCGCGCTCTAGGATGTTATCGCAAATCGTCCGCCGAATCGATTCGCGTCGAGAACGCGCTGGGATCGTGCTGCCTGCCGGAGTCGCTGGCGGTTGTGGATCGTTGCGCCGGCTGGGAACCTACCAATTTGTTCGATGAGAGGTGGGTGTTTCAAACATACTGCATTCGGAACACAAACAAGATTCGATGAATAATTCTCCGCCGTGTGTGTTTCGGTCGTCGAAATTGCACGAGGGATCGTTGCTACGGTTTGGATTCTAAATAATACGTTTCAAATTACGAATGCTATTCTAGTCGCCGGTTGATTTTATATCCGTGGTGCGCCAGACCCCGATTCTCCCAAGCCTTCCTCGCACCGGGCCCGCCGGTTGGTTCGTTCTGTTCTGTTCCGCTTCCGCCCCCCGATGCTTCTCGGTCGTTCCCGCCCCTCAAAACATCTCGACGTAGAGCTCGGACAGGACGGTGTAGCCCACCCGCCCCAGGCAGAGGAGGAAGAGCGTCGAAACCATGGTCACCACCACAAAGGGCAGGGGCGGCACGTAGCCCTTCGCGATCCCCCGGAGAAGGCATCCCAGCGGGACCGCGAGGATCCACCCCCTTGCGGCCCGGACGGCCGCTTCCTTGGCGTCGCGGGTGGCGTCCGGCGTGTAGGATCCCGCCAGCGGCGCCACCAGGAACCACGCCGCCAGAAAGGGGGCGGCCGTGGCTCCGACGGCGAGGAGGTCGAGGGATCCGTCGGGGCCGGAGTGGGAGGCCTTTCCGATCGCGGCAAAGACCAGGAGGGCCCCCGCGTCGATCGCCGACAGGACGGGCCGGTCCAGGGGGGACCGGGGGACCCCCTCTTTGTTCGCGGTGGCCGGTGCGGCGTCGCCTTCGTCGGTGTCGGACAGGCGCCGTTCCGTCAACGCCCGCGCCGGTGCGATCTTTCCGGGGACCGCCGGCAAGAAGGCGCAGGGTCCGACCACCGGGCGCCGGCCGCAACAACCCGCGAAAAGCCCCGCGGGCCTTTTCGCTTTCCGGGCGACCAGCGCGTGGGACCTCCCGGCGGCGAGGAGCAGCAGGACGGTGCGGGAAAGCAGCGCCGCCGCCGAGAAAATCCCCGCCGCGTTGGGGCGTCGTCGGCGCCGTTGTTCGTGTGGTGGTTCTGGGTGTTGTCTCATCGGGTTTTTAGTGTGGGGAGGGCCAAGAATCCAGGGAGGGGAAGGCTCCTCCGGCAGGATGTCGAAAATGCTGATCCAATTGATTGATTCAGAATTGAATTAGAAGTACAGTACAGCACGGTACAGTACTTTCACCTGGTACAAATACTTCGAAAACTTTATTGTTTTCTTCACGAGGTGCCAGGTACGAAAGTACGAGTGACAGTACCCGTACGTAGTACAGTAAAATGAATCGGTCGCTTGTCGCTTCGCAGGCGAGAGTTCGAGTACGAGAGTACGAGTACGTACCGGTAGGCCGAAACGAAGAAGATGATCGACTTCAAACTGGATACGAGTTACCGGTAAGTATGGTACTTGTACTGTTGTCGCGCAAGTACGTACGTTTGTGTACATAGATTACCGCTCGAAGTTTTATGATGATCGCAAGTCGGAAGACAGCTGGAGCCTTCCTTATCTAGTCAAAGTAGTCAACAGGTTACGATGTAACCTTCTACGGTACGAACCACGAAATATCAAATATCTTCCATGGTCTTCCGAATTCCAAACCTATTCAACCTTCATGTTTTTTAGTCGTGCTCGAAGTAACAACGGTCCGCTATGCGAATATGCTAGTACTAGAGTACGGTACTAGTACGAACTCTAGTCATCAAAACTTGGATCGTGTCGTCCCTGTCAATCTCCACAACAAACGACTTGGGTACGGTACGAGTAGCAATAACCATCACCCTTCTCTGCATCGGACATACAGTATCTCGTGCGCACACAATTTCGAGAACACAAGACGAGACGAGGCAATACACGTCTCACGAGAGAAAGCAAAAGCAAACAAAACACCAAAGCACCATGTATTTTTTTTCTGATTTCCACGAGTTCGACGAGGAAGTCTTCAAGGATTCGGTCCGGGAGGCACTCGTTTCGGTCCAACACGTGCTGGACACCGACCGCTGTCCAAACCTCCGCCTGGCGGAAAGCGTCGACCACGAATACGTCGACAAGTACAAGCTGGCAGACCTGCTGACCAACACCGCGATCATCTCGTTCCTGGTTGTCCTAGAAGGCCTCGGTCTGACAAAGGAGGAACTCCTTCGACTCCACAACCAACACAGCAAAGCTCCCTCCCGGGCGACCACCCTTCGTTTCGCCAGCACCGAGTCGTGCGAATTTGTCAAGCAAGAAACCGTGGACGTCCCGGTCCGGGGGTTGCAAAAAGAAACGAGGGAGGTCACGACCGACACAAAGGACTTTGGGATCGACGAGAGCACCACCACCAGATCCACGATCGAAACCATCGTGAACCGGGTCACCCGTAGGCACTACACGGTAGAAACGAGCTGGGAGGTATCGGTCTATACCGGGACGGACGTGGAAAACCGCAGGGTGATCGGGAAACGCACCAACGGCAGGTTCGGCCTGTGCCGCGACGTACCCGCCAACGCGCCGAGCGAAAGATCTGGGCCCCTCCAGGAGGAGGTATCCCCCCCCGTGGAACTGTCCCTGACCTGGCTCCTGCAACACATCGACGCGGACGAAGGCAAGTCGCACTTTGCCATCGACCGGTCCCCTGAGAACACCTTGACAAAGACCCCGATAAGGAACCCCCAGATCGAGCAAGCCGTGTCGTTTTTCCACTCTGCCTTCGACTGGGCCGAGGGCGTCCACGAACGATTCGCCGTCGACTACCCAATGGGCGTGCGTTCCGGAGACGGTGACATCGATGAGGCGCAACAGCTCGGAAGCATCGAAAGCCTCGACAGCGATGCGGTTTTTGTTCCCCTTCTGCCCTTGTTCGAAGACACACCGGACGGAGAGGAAGGACGCATCCAAAACAACGAGAATGACGACGTACAAGCCGGATCAAATGCAATTCTGTCGCTCCCAATCGGTGGCGATGGCGACGGCAACGGCAATGAGTCGGACAGAGAGAGGAATCATTCTCCGATGGGTTCATCACCGCTTCTATCGGTCCCCGACACGACTCGTTTCCTCAACGAACAGATTCGGACGCTCCGTGAGGTGCGGAACAGGCTCCGACAGGATTATCCCGATCCCGAGACGACCACCACGCTCATATCCTCGGCAGAAGCCGACGTGTCTGTCCTCTGTCTGCACGCGCAGGAACTTGCCTCTCGGTACGCCGCTAGCATCGACTACATCGAATCCATGCTGAAAAACCAGCTCGTGGCTGCCATTGGGAAAAAGATTTACAGCTCCGACATCGACAAGTTCATGAGGTACCACAACGACAAACTGATGAATCCCGGTCCGAAACCCTTTTGCCACACGATTCGCCAGCCGAGGCGCTATCCGGACGGCATCTTAAGCCTCGAAAGAGAAGTGTCTGGTCCCCGGGGCACGCTGGAGATGGAACCAATTTCGACCCACGTCCGGCAAGTTGAATGCGTGCCTCCCACCACAATTCCCCTGAATTCTGCAACGACGGTGGAACTCACCGGGGAAACCTACTTGCACGGTTGGTTGAATCACGGCTTTGGAGATGCGTCTTCCAATCCCCCCATGCGGCTGATCGCTAGGGCGAGGCAGTTTTCTTCGTTTTTGCTGGTGGTTGGCACCATGGGAAGCCAAAACCGGATGCACCCAAAGAACGCCATAATCCTGAGGAACAAGGACGAGGTTCACATCCCCCTCCTTCTCAACGAAATACCGACCGCAACGGAATTCAATGACGCCATCGGCTCGCTGTCTCCGGAGCAGCAACGGTTTGCCAAAGCCTTTCGCTCGATGCAGCTCGAATCTTCCGTCCTTGGCGTCTGCATCATCCAAATCAAACCGCAGCTCGAAAAATTGTTGGGCCTGCCCAGAGACTCACTGGCGAAGGAAATGAAGCTCACCGAGGACCTGACGGAGCTCTTTGTCGAGTATCAGGTTCCATCTGACTTGTTGTCGTACGATGGCGGCAGCAGCGAATCCACCAAGGACCAGGTCGCGAGCGTCAAGGAGAACGTTAAATCGATTCTGGATGTCATTGCCCAGCAGAAGAAAGAACAACTCGAGCAGCAAACCTTGAAAACCGACATGGCTGTGGAGCGCCGGATGGCTTCTGAATCTCCCGAACTTCGTTCAAAAATGGATCGCCGGTTGGCTGAATATGAGCGCCGGTTTGCTTCTGAACCTCGCATTCTTTGTAAAAAAATGGCCAAATCGGATACGAGAAACCGTGGTCGAATGAATAGTGCTATCAAGTGTTTGAAGGTAGTATCTGACAACCCTCCACCTCCCCCGAAACAAAGAGAGTTGACCTATGACGATGACTGCGAACCAGAAAATATAACCGAAATAGGATGTTTCGGTGCTACACTACCATCCTCTTCGAAGAACAATACCATCGACTTTACGGCGATACCCAAGATTTTGGACAAGGCTATCGAGTTGAACGACAGAGACGCTTCCATTCGTTCGACGACGATCACAACCGCCGACCACGGTTGGACCAAACGCCGCCAACCCAACCTGCTGTCGAAGCCCCAACAGGAATCTTTTAGCACTGCCGAGATCGCGTCGGAAAAGAACAAGGCCATCGATCTGTTGGATGCCCTGTCCAGGAGCGGGTCGCTCGAGATCCCCTTTTCGGAGCTCCACGTCGTGGTTTGTGCGACGCATCGTTTCGAGAAGAACGTGATGGCAACCGTGATCCGGGACAACATCAATCCCATCGAGAAACTGGAAATGTCGACCCTGCTGATGGCTTCCACGATACTGGGTGTCCCCGCACGGCACCTGGTCTGCAGCGAGAAAAAGTGCAAGCAGCTGTCGGAATCCTTTCCGGAGCTTGTAAAAATGGTCGATGCCGACGGCTCTCCGTCCGAGTCGCCCTCGGGAGCACCAATCAATGGAATGGAAGAAAGCACTCTGGTGGATAAGAGCGTCGCTGACGAAATCTTTTGAGCACGACAAACCGGATTTGGTTACTAGTTCGGCTGATTAAATACTACGGTATTACGAAACTATTAAACCCCGAAAATATAAAAATACGGTCAATGTCAGCTTATTCTTAATACTAACAACATTAGAAGTATTCAATAGCGCTATGTATTGTCCAATCGATCAAAATTAAGTTCCGTCTGGCTCAAAAAGTTGCTCGAATGGAAGAAAAAAAGTTAGCCTGCGTTGAAACCGAATGCAAAAGTTCGGATTCATGTTGTTTTCCACAGAATAAAATGAAAAACACCGACTCTCCGTCAACCCACATCCTAATTCAGCATTGGCTATTGATATTCATCGAATCGGACTTGGCCAAAAACGCAATCACGTTTACCGAGACGCAATCTGAGTTCTTCCCGAATCTGTGGCCTTTGAGGTTTGCATTGTGACACAGTCTTTCGCATGTTTTGGGTGTGAGTTTGGCACCGAGAACCTACCCGAGCGCCCCCGACAGGAGTACTCCAAACAAGACAAGGATTCCGGCCAGGACGCCCAGGAAGACGCCGCCCTCCTCGAAGCCGGGCGTCAGCAGGACCATTTCCGGGCACGATGCGTCGCACGCCCATTCCAGCTGGACGCCCGACGACTCCGACGACTCGATTTCGACGAGGGTCCCCGGCCGGACGGATTGCCTCTCGGTTTCGCCGTCCGTAACGATTTCCAGAGACCCGGATCCCTCCAGGACGTATCTCACCAGGGAATTCCCGGGTGCCACCGCCTCCGTCCACGACCCGCTCTTGCTCTGCTGGGGCCATTCCCGGATTCCCAGGCTTTCGCACTGGGCCTGGGACGGAACCGAAAGCTCGGTGCGGGGCGGGGACGCGGCAAGCGACGACGGCGACGACGACGCCAGCGATTGCGGCAACCAAGAGGGCCCTGGTTTCTGGAATTCGGTTCTTGCGCCGCTGCGACGGCCCTGTTTTGCAAGAGGTGCGAACGATTCGACACAGGTCATCGCGATGCCCGTTCCCTTGCCATTTCCGTAGAACGAGGATCCGATGAGGATGACGAGAACGGAGAGTGATGCCCGGTACACTCTGGCTGAAATCATTTTGTTTTCCTGAGAACCCTTTTGTTCGAAACCTAGTTCGCGTTGTGAGTGCCGATACCGGATGGTCAATACACTCGGTATGATATCTAGCAACGAATTCGTTGGACTAGCCAAATATTCTTTGTGTCTGTCGGAAGTATCAATTGAGTGCACCGTCTATTGGCACCTGCTCCGATTTGATTTGGTGTCCATGGTCGGTTCGTACACTAGAACGGTAAGAAGTGAAGGAATGAAAACAAAAAAGATTTTTGTTATTTTCACTAGAAAAATCTTCAATCTTTTTCCTCCACACATCGATCTCCGAGTGCTACCGTACGTAACGTACCACATCTGTTCAAAACGCACGAAAAGGGGATTTTATCCGGAAGTTAGCGTTTTCTTATGGTTAGGGATAATACGGAATCAAGCAATCTGATTGGCTAATTAGACAGATCGAAATATCGAAAATCGAAAACTGTACAGTATATTCCCTTGATATCCAATTTTGCCGTATAATTCTACGAGGATTTTGTACTAGGAATCAATATTTGCTTGTTTTTTTTGCTCTTACTTCCTCCGTTATTTGCTTCGACTCCTCGTTTTGGTTTCCGACGCTGAGAGGACAGCGTAGTGTAACTTKTGAGTCCATTAAGCGTTATCAAGAGTGCCGCTACCCATCATCACGAAATAAGGCAGGATGCCCTCGTCTAAAGCGAGTTGTTGTTGCTTACTAGTAGCTATGGAGGGATGTACTGGGCAGAGTTGGATGCCTTGGATCCAAGGAGTGCACTGTCGATGAAGTTTTGCGACCAGGCGTCTGGGACCTTGCCAAGGAGCATGTAATAGTAAATATCGTGGAGTTCATTGGGAATCAGGTTGTTCTTTTGTGAAAGGAAGTAGCCCTCCACTACAGCTTCAGTTTCCATCTCGTGTTCGTCCACGGGAAGATTCTCCAAGAGTTTCGTTCTTGATCCAAAAGAACTGTATCGACCACGAGGACCTCTCTGCCTTTTATAGTCTTCCTCTTCAAAAAGGCAATGCACCTCTTCAATACCTGGAATAAGACAGGATTGCTGCCGTTGTGAAAGTTTTTCACATCGAAGTTTGTCTTGTGCAATYGTTGTCAGGAGCCTTTTCAAGTGGTTCATCACATGATGTTTGTTTTCGAAGCCTTCAGTGGAGCAACGTCCGCTCATTCCTGTCTTCTCGATAAAAGGAATCAAGGCGCACATTAGCATATGCATCTTCCAGTAAATTGGATTCTTTTTTTCATATGTTACTAGGCGATTCACCCATTGCTGTACAAAGTTAGCGACATCTTCTTTTAGTTTCAGGATGTYGTGTATGCACTGCTTGTCCTGACTTTTCAAAGTAGTTGAAATCCGCAAGAGAAGCTTGGCAGACCTTTGCCACCAAGTCATAATATCAAGAACAACAGGATCATCATTGCATCCATTGATTACAATGTTATATATTTCCTCATTACTTTCAAGTGCCTTGATTCCTCTAGAATTCGTTAACTCGTGTTGGCCGTGGTTTTTATTGAAATCACCTGCAAAGGTCTTCATAGCTTTCATGAAAAGATACACAGCCTTTGTAAAATTCTTCTTCTTACTCCTCTCTAAATTGTCCAGCAGAGACCTCAGCTCTTCAGCTCCATTAAGTTTCCGGGAAGTTTCATGGTAACCAAGTTCTTGACCTACTTCATCTCTTTTCAGGACTGCGCTTGTATAAACTTCATAGCATTCATCAACTGYGTCATCATCTGCTRCACGCAGTATCTTAAATGCAGACTTCACTAAACTGTCTTCCTCCTTGTATCGATTCTCTGCATGCTTGAACGCAAAGGAACTTTCACGAGAAGCCATAACCTCGATGAAAGCTTTCACTTTTGTTGTTTGGTCCTTGACAAATCCTGGTTGAGCTTCTAGCTGTAACTCTGTTGCTCTCTGCAGCTGGATACACGTTTCTTCTGTCAAGTGAGTTATCAGACCTTGTGACACATGCATTGGATCACCAGTGTGAAGATATAGAAGGTCATCTTCAATATGCAATAATGGCTTGTGGATGACACTATACACCTGCTTCTTCAACCTAAGAGGTGGATCGGAAGTTATCTCACCAATGAGGGCTGTATAATGATAATATGATTCATTTCGGCTGTATTTGCCAGTCCTTCCCCTGTAATCTTTTGTCGRAACTGCTATTGCATTAGAGTTGCTGCCATCTTCCGTAGCATGATCTCCTATCCAACTCGATGCAACTCCTTCACGCAGCGGCCATTGGCACTTGGGACAGGGGTAAGAAGATCCACAAGTTGAAAGGCCATAGACTGTATTGCACATTTTGCCATCTTCACACGGTACCCCTATTAATTGCAAGCAATCCACCATTGAATTATTTAGATCAATAGGAGTATCTTTTGTATTCACACCTTGATCGAATTCAAATGAGAATATTTCTTCCATCGTTGTTGCAATTTGCACTTTACAACCAACATAATGGTCGTCTAATTGAAGCAACTGTAGGACTAAATGCAGCTCTCGTTTGCCATSCTCTGCCACAAAGAGTAGGTCCTCGTTGATGGAGGCGTCATCGACAATGACCCGTCCGTGCGCTCTTGATTTCCATTGCGGCATTTGCGTGTGCGGTATACCAACATACTCAGTGCCACCAATCGTACACACAATCTTCATCACTGATAGGTCTTGTCTCTTCACTCCAATCAATCGTAGTAAGAAACACTTTACATCTCGCGGAGCCGCAGACGTATCATTCTCTAAGAAGAACTGAATTCGTACCATAAAAAGCTGTTGGTTAACAAGTTGCTCAAGGATTGCTTTCCGAGTCGAGGAATATACAGTTTTCTCTAAATTTGAGTATGTTTCTGTTGCTCCCTCCACAACACCAATAGGAATAGAGAAGCGTCCATGATTGCCTAAACGGCGGTTTGCAAGACTTATCATCATGATCAGATCCCCCCCCCCTTGATCAGCTCCAAACCGAAAGATTACCTTGTTTTTAAATGTTGAGATTKCAATTGAATCTTCCATCTCCCCCTCTAATATACAACCGGACACAAGTCTTTCCATGAGTAAAGGTACATTCTCAATATAATAATAGACGCATCTTCTGACGTCTTCTTTTGTCACAGAACACTCAACATAATTGAATTTTGAGGGGACGGCGCTAACACGTTCAAGAAGACCAATCTTCTTCCTCAACTGTCCTTCAAATACCTTCTTATCTGATATCAGCATCTTCTTCTTCTTGAGCAGGGTCAACACATCTTTCGTAATTGAAGTTACAGCTGATGTTGATATATTCCACCCAGACCGATTTCTAATTTCAATCACTTCCAATGGTGAAATTTGTGCTTCYGGTTTACTGCACACAGTCGCATCGAAGCTGCTTTCGATAGCCTTTGTAAGTACATTCTTTTGCAGATCTTTATCACTTGCCGCACCACTTATTGTATTCCGGATAAAATCTACCACACTCTTTGCTGCATCCCGCACATACCTTTGACGGCTCCTTCCACTCGCAGTTGCGGCTACCCGCCTTGATGAGAGCTGATAGATCCTTTTATCTAACAAGTTGCCRTTATGATCAGCTCGCAGTGAAATAAACTCTAGCGCTCTTCTTTCAATTTCTTGGTCATTTTGAGAAGTGCTTACAGCATGCATGAACTGCCTGCACTCTTGTGAGATCTCGGATGAGATACGGTTGGTTGGTTTGGGTGTCTTTTGCCGATGGTTAACAGCAGGTATAAATAGAGCTCTTCRAAGAACAGGAGATAAAACTGGAGTTGAGGCAAGACAAACTCTCTTTTTTACTTGGGTTCCTGGAGTTTTGTCAGGTGTCGATTGCCATGAGGAAGGAGTCTGCTGGAAAAAAGTCGGCGACGCACTTTCAAAACTTTTTTGGGAATTTGATACTGTAGTAGTATATACTACTCCAGCAAGAGGTGGTGCGTCAGCAGACAATGTTGAATCGCCGACAGTCAATGGCGATGTCCTGTTGTCCTCTTTTTCATCTGGAAATGACACTGAAAGAGGTACAAGAATACCACTGCTGGGAGATTTACGAGAGTCTTCTTGTTGCACACCAGAAGTTGATAAACCATCAGACACGGAAGCTGTTGGAGCTGTTGCACTACTCTTCAGTCCCCCCGGTGATGACTTCCTACTTACTCTTCCTCGTATTAGTGGTGGAAGAATATTCCAAACTAAATCGTTCGAAATCAATCGGAGCCACTGTATGGTATTCTTTGTTGATCCTTTCTTTCCAAGCGCAGTACACAATTCACGACCGCTATTACCACAGAATCCTCGGATGATAGTGTGAAGAATAACAACTAATTTGCATCGATCATTTTGTGGCCTTATATCTCGGTTTATGTGTTGAAACAAAAGGATGCGCAACCATCCAGGTCCAACTGTTGAATTCTGTTCTAAAAGAAAAGCCTCAAGAGGGCAGACTGGATTCTCCTTTGACCAAACAAAGTTACTACATTCTTCGATGGACGAAAGTAACTTGGCAACCATCGCATCCGTAATGGAATACTTCTCCCGTGTATTGTCATCTATAAGTCRAGCGCATGCTGCAAATTGCTCTTGGAATTCTCGACTCAGGAATTGAATACACTTAATTTTACAATATTCCTTTTCTTTACTTCTTCCCACACTGCTTTCAAATACATTATCTGTCCGACCAATAAAGAAGCAATAYATCAAGCACAGTGGTGGGAATATGGATTTCGAATCCGTATCTGAAGAACCTAGTAGGTCACGCAACCAATTCTCCTCAAGATTCTTGTGATTATTCATCCATATTAGAATTGGAAGTTTCGATGGATTCTTTGCCTTTGATTTGTATGTCTGCAGCAGTGCTTGACGTAATTCCGTCTTGGAAGGGGGAGTTATATTGAAAACATTTCTCTTCTTCTTATAATTCTTCTTCTTGAATGGAGAAAAAATCATGGCAAGAGGTAGACTGCTGCCTGATTCAATTACAGTTGCRGCCGCATTGTGATGTTGCCAAACCAAGGCTTCCGCAACAGAGAAGGACGCCTTCCGCAACAAAGCGGTGACTGTGCCTCACCCTAGAAGGGCAAGATGCATTGGTGCTCTATTGTATTCATAAAAACCTTGGGCAGTCCTTGGAAGCATGCATGCTAGGAATCTTCCGTTCTCGCAGTTGAACTGATCTGAATATGTGAAGAAAATTAGCTATTTCGAAGGAGTGGAAAAAAGATTTTGGAGGGAGTTGTTCTACGCATTATTTCTACATAGTATGTAGTAGTCACAGTTGAAATTGAATTTTTTAGATTTTAGGCGGATCCTACCGTCACTCACATTTAACTTCAGCGCACCTCGGAGTTGCAACATGTGTCCCGGACCGTAACGCAGCATTGATCAATAAAAGGAAGAGCTTGATTTCTATGGAGACTTCTTCTGTAATGCAATAAGAACTGTTCCCTACCGCTAAGTGTGCACCTCCATCAGTACTTCCAATAACAGACTTGCTGGGATAGCTCGGGCTCGTACTCAATGTCATYGTCGTTAGCAACAGAAACATTAAGACCATGTTGAGCAGTTTGTGGGGATCCATCATAAACACTCTTGTCATYGGCATCCTCTTCATYGCTACTGCTATCTTCCAAGAGGTTGACTGAACTGGTATCTTCCTGCTCTGGATGGTCAATTTCCTCTTCAATTGGTGGCGGATAGGATGAATTTATTTCTTTATCTCCTCCCACGTTGCTTTGGGGTTTGTCAGAACCAGAATTGCTGCTTTTGGATCCGCCGGGCTCATTGCTGGATTGCTTGGAAGGAATGGTGGGACAACCCGTGTATCTTGTCAATCCAACGATATCTCTTGCAATCAGTTCACCAGTGAAGTTGCTCAAGACAATCTTGATATTGCCATTTCCGACGTCAAGAAATTCTGGGTTTGAGTTAGTATTCATATCGATGTTTGCTTTCTTTTTCACAGTTCTCAAATTATGGTTCAATATGGAGAAGCATAGAATCTCAGCAATCGAATGAGTGTGGCATTCACATTTGAACTAGCCAAATTTTACAGTCCACCGACGCCTGCCAGCTCTTCAAATTTTGAAGTGAATCGCGTGTTTCAGTTCAACTCTTGTCCTGAAGCCACAACATAATTTTGTATACCACCACCAACAAACCCAATATGACCATTGCTAACATCAAGACTTTTTATTGCGCCATGTGCTTCCGAGACCTTTTAGTAGACGGAGCAAGACCCACGCGTTTTGCTGAAGAAGCTTTTCTTTGTGTTGATAACGAAAGCATCCTAAGGATCTTTGATGGCCAAGGATTGAGCTACTGGGTTTTCATTACAGATCCACTACCACAAGAACCCTTGTTTGTGATTGACCTGAAAGCCACTGCATGCTCTTTTGACTTTAGGCGAGTGGCTAGTGCAAACGGAAACCATTTGTTTGGAAGGATGAGGATTACCGGAGATTTTGGTTCCGGTGTGGAGAGGCTGATCTTCAAGTTTTCAATAAACGAATACAATAAAATTGGGCCTTTGATCYGTTCCTTTGTTTCATCAAGAACTGGCAGAGTGTAGTAGGGAACGTTGCGTTCACTATTGAGTGCAATYGCGGAATCAATGATGCATGCCGTCACTGCCTGTGACATTATGGTCAGTCTTGACCRATGGATAGTTCAACAGAGTATGGTGGTTAATAGCATCGTCAACGACGGCTGTTACCTGTATTTACTACTACTCTTGAGGACACTTGTTTAAACAATTTACAATTAGAACTAAATATAACAAACTAGATTACTACATGTTGTATGAACTAAGGTTTYGACTCCTTCTTGTTCCTTTTACCGAACACCAGATCATGATATTCATCTGGATCCTTAGTAACGCGATACCCGTCTTGGGTGTTTTCAACCATTCCTTTTCCAACTTTGATTAGTTGTCGACCCAATTCTTTCAATTTAAAATCGTCTGGGCAGAGGAAAATARCACAAGGCCCAGCAGGTCTTCTGAATCTACTATTTTCAGAACAGTGTGGCTGCTGCACCATCTCATCGTATGTAAACATGAAGTGCTGTGATTTGGGCTTCTCATCACGATCAATCTTCTTTGCCCATGTGCTGCAATGCTGCAATTCACTCAGGTGTTTTGAAGTTACACTGAACTTAGCTCRAACAGTTCGATCCTTCACACAGTTCACTGAAGATGGTGTTGTATCTACTTTTCTTCTTTTGCTCTTGTTTTTGGTCGGAGTCTCTTCTKCAGTCTCTTTTGCTGTTTCCTCCTCCTCCTGCACTTTCTTTGCTTCTCCACTCCTCTTCTTTCTCTTTCCGATCCTTGTGGGCAACAAGGAAGAACGCCTCCCACCAGCAGTGGTCCTGTTCCGCAGCGCATAGCCGCTTTGGAGACGTCCWTTTCTCTCAAGTATATGAGTGGTAAGACATTCAAGCTTACCAAGATTTCCTTCTTTCTTTGCTGCTCTTCTCATTTCAGTTCCAAGCTTTGTTGCTTCTTGAATCAGATCTTTTGAAGAAGCTCTTTGACGCAACAAAGAAGCTCTCATCCTTTCTTTTTCTGCAGCTGCTTGGCGTTCCTTGATTCGATTCGATGCCCTCCGAGCCGAGGGCATCTCCTCCTCCTCCTCCTCATCATCATCATCATCCTCATCCTCATCATCCGTCTGCACCGTCTGCACCACCACAGTCTCGTCTACCTGCACCTTACTTACTTCTTCGGGTAGTTCCTCATCCACTGTCTTCTTGCTGTCATCATCACCACTGTCGTCGTTTCTGCCGCTGTCCCTCTTGCTATCTTCATCCTTATTCTTGCTGGTGTCGATGTCCTCGTCCTCGTCGTATGGCTCCGTGGAAACAAACACCTGTTTGGTTTCATACTGTTCAATGATTGGATTTTCTCCTCCATTGTTGTCACCTTGAGGAGAGGGGTGCTTTAGGTGGGCCTTATCTTGATCTTTAGAACTTCCTTGTCCTTCAGCAGCAGCAGCAGTTGTCGTCGATGCATCAGGAGAAGTGGTAGTTCCAGGACAAGGGGGATCCGCAGCAGCCGTAGATGTATCATGGTGAGGAGGAGCAACAGCAGCAGAAGCAGCATCAACCTCGTTGTTGTTGCCACTGCGAGGAGGCGGCTTTAGTAGGTGGGTTGTCACATTGCCGTGATCCTTTCCTTGAGCAGAAGCAGCAGCAGTCGTCATCGATGGATCAGGAGCAGCAGTGGTAGTTCCAGAACACGGGGGATGCGCAGCTGTAGATGTAGTATCATGGTGAGGAGGAGCAACAGCAGCGGAAGCAGCATCATCCTTGTTGTTGCCACCGTGAGGCCCTGCAAGACCCTCTCCTTGACCTCCACTTTGTCCTTGAGCAGCAGCAGAAACAGCAACTGAAGCAGCAGCAGCAGCTTGAATAGTTTCTTGAGATACCTCGTTTCCCATGGTAGAAAGATGATTAGTAGTAAGAAGAGCAACTAATTGACCAATTCCTAGAATTGTGAGGGATTTCTACTATTACTGGATCGCTTGTCCATCCTCTATTGCGTCGCAAAAAGTATACGCAACCAGTAGCGACTGGTTGCTTCTTCTCCTTGTTGCTGTCACCGTGGAAGGCGGATGAAGAAACAGAAACCATTTTTATTCTTGTCTGTTGCCGTATCTACAGTAGATTAGCGTCAGTTAGCGTGACGGCCACCCTATCGTGGACAATGCTGTTGCAGTAGTAACAGAGGCGTTTGGTTCCATCGATAGTGACACCAACAGACAACAGAAGAGGAGGATAGCTTCATTACTAATAAGGAACTGTTAATTTGAACGAGAGCAAAACAAGCAACAAAAAACCAAGCAAATACTCATTCCTAGTACAAATTCCTCGTAGAATTATACGGCAAAATTGGATATCAGGGGAGTATACTGTACAGTTTTCGATATTTTCGATATTTCAATCTGTCTAATTAGCCAATCAGATTGCTTGATTCCGTATTATCCCTAACCATAAGAAAACGCCAACTTTCAAATAAAATCCCCTCGCGAACAGATGTGGTACTTCTACGATGTACTTCGTAGTACAAGTACGTACCAGTTCGAGAACCAGTTTGCGGCCTGTACCGTACGGTACGTGTACATACCGGTAGGGTCCTGACAAGGAAGAACTAGTTAAGTTCTCAACTTCCTGTAAAAGTACTGTACATCTGTACGTCCACTAGGATAGGAGAGACAGGACAGACGGTCCCGGAATTTTTTATCTACGGTATCATCAACGTAAAATCGTCATCATCAGGATTTTGAAGTTCCAACACGACAAAAAGAAGGAAACGTTGATTCTTACCATCATAAACATTCCATCAACGACGACATCACACAATTTTGAGCTCGCTCTTGTCATTTTTATTATCAGCGAATTCGGCCGAATCTCGGCTGTGCAGCTACCCATAGCCTGAAGAATGCAGTGCTGACTTTCACAAAGCAACAAAGGAACGACCATTTCATCACAAATGACGAATATGCGGAAACCAACGCCAGCAGTCTCGTTCGGCAGTCGCGTTCTTGGAACGACGGCACTATCGACCCGAATCTCGGCTATGCTTCTGCTCGCGGTTTCTTTCGGGTATAGTCCAAGAACAACAACGTCGGGGTTTGTCGTTTCGCCTCCGCGAACAGCTACAACATCACTCCAATCTACCAAACCGGTCACCCGTGAAATTTATACCTCGGCCGACCTGGAGTCCTCTTGGGGAGACGACGCCAACGAGGCAGCGTGTTTGGCAGCCCGTGGGAACACGCAGATCATTGGTTCCCCCGATCACCCGGGCGTGACGCATCCGGTGATCCGCGTTCTGCACGATCGAAAACGAAGGCGGCAACAAGCAGCTGCCGTCGCAACGGAAAAAAAGGAGGAGGATGGCGGCAAGGAACCAAAAATTGCGCTGGTCATCGAAGGGGGCGGGATGCGAGGCTGCGTTACGGCTGGTATGGTGTGCGCGATCGACTATCTGGGACTGAGAAACTGCGTTGACGTTGTCTACGGATCCAGTGCGGGTTCCATCATTGGCGCATACTTTATAACGGGGCAATTGCCGTGGTTCGGCCCGGAAGTCTACTACGACCAGCTGACGACGGCCGGGAAATCCTTTATCGACACCGGCCGCTTGCTGCGGGCGTTGGGACTCGGCGTTCTCAACCCCAAACTCCTGCGCGACGTAATTACGAGGAGGAACTCCGGGAAGCCCGTTCTGGATCTAGACTTTTTGCTGCAAGAAACTATGCAGCGAACCAAGCCCCTCGATTGGGCAACCTTCGAAGAGAGGCAACAAACGAATACCCAGCCGCTAAAGATTGTGGTCTCGGGTCTGAAACGCGAAGAACCCATGGTGTTGGAGTACGGGGACAGGCATTTCGGGTCGCTGGAGGAAATGTCCAGGTGCATGCACGCTTCCGCCCTGCTGCCGGGGATCGCCGGTCCCGTGGTGAACCTCTTGGTCAACGAGGACGCGAAGGACCGGAAGCCGAGGTTCGTCCTCCGGAACAACCTGGGGGACGACGACTACGAACCACTGGCGGACGCCCTGGTCTACGCACCCATTCCCTACGAGGCGGCGATGGCCGACGGAGCGACCCACATGGTGGTCCTGCGGTCCAAGCCCGACGGCGGGGACGTGATCGGCAAGGGCGGGAGCATCGGAGAGCGGTTGGTCTGGTCCCGGTTTTTCTTGCGCAAGAACAAGCTGCCGGGGATCTACCGGAGGCTGCGGAAGCAGCTCCACAAAAAGCTCTACGCCCGAAGCGTCCTGGAGCTCAACGAGGCGGCCCACGAGGACACCAAGGCTTCGAACCTTCTGCCCCCGACGCTGACGGTGGCCATCCCGCCGGAGATCCCGGAAATCGCCCGCCTCGAGGTGGGCCGGGAGGCCATCTTCGAGGGCGTCCGGACGGGCTTCGCCCGGGCCTACGACGCCCTCGTGGAAGACCCGTCCCAGCGGGGGAGGGGCGAAACGGTCGCCAGGCTGTACTTTCCCGACGAGATCCTGGACTACTCGCCGGCCGAGATGCTCGCGCTGCAACGGGACAAGCCGGAGCACGCCTCCCGGTCGGCCTTTGAGATCTACCTCGAGGAGTCCGGGGTCTGGCCAAAGGCGTGGGAGGGATGCCCCTCGCCCCCGCTGGGGGAGTCCTCGGACCGGGCGCTCGCCGGGGGGAAGCGCGGGGCGGCGCCGAGCGGCGTTCCGTGAGAGGGCCGCTTTGCTTTGCTTTGCTCCGCATCTCGACTCGCGTCGCATCTCGTCTCGTCTCGTCTCGCCCGGATTCGCGAAAGAGTCCAAGACTCTCCACACACGGGTTTGCCATACCCCAGCAAACGTTACTCTAGCAACGCCGGTGGTCTTGCCATTTCCCAACCAGAGAAAATGTGTGGTGCAAAACAAACAAGTTGTAAAAACTCTACTTTTGGCTAATGGAATAGTTTAGTAACATCTTGATCTAAAATTCTTTTACGCAATGAGAAAGTTGTTCCCCGCTGCAATCTCAATCTCTCCCCTCTGTTCCACAAACACCAGCACTTGGTGGGCGTACTACAGAGGCAGAGAGATTGGTCCCGCAGCTTGCTTTCCCGAGCACGAGTAGTGTGCTGTAGCTTGTACCGTACCGTACCGTAGCTAGCTATGCCGACGGTTTGTTTTAGTAGCGGGGAGGAGCGTGGTGCGCCGGCTGGGCCGGGCGTTGTTGTGGCTGCTGCTGTTGCTGCTGCCTCTGCAGGACGTCGGCAATCGTCGTCGGAGGGTAGGCCTGGGTTTCCTGGGGCGTGAGCGGCGGACCACCCATGACGTCCGGGGGCGGCAGCTTCTTGCTGGGTTGTCCGTAGCTGCGGGCAAGGGGGCACGGCGGAGAGGCAAGGAGTGGTTCGAACCAACCCCACGGAAACCAACCACAAGAAAACCAAAAACAAGAAAGAAACAAACAACGGCCGGGTGAGGCTATGGATCGCATCGCTGCTGGACACCCTAGCGTGTCTCACGCTGCTTGCTGCACGCTGTACACGGCACCGGTCGCGGTCCCGTACGGTACGGTACTTACTAATTCCCCTGGCGGATCCAGACCTGGGACACGTACTTGGTGTCGACCGCCGGCAGGGCCGCGTGCAGGGTCCTCGGATCGAGGTGCCCGTCGACGGTGGCCGGGAAAAAGACGAGGGCCGTCCCCTTTTGCGGCCGGACCTCCAGCTGCCGGGGCGGCTGCGTTGGCGTTGCTTGTGGCGTTGCTTGCGGCGTTGCTTGTGGCGTTGCTTGCGGCGTTGCTTGTGGCTGCGTCGCTTCCGGAAGCTTCGGAAAGGCCGTGTGCCCCCCGCTGGACACGTCGTTCAGGTAGACCAGGACGGTGACGGTCCGCTGGCCCCCGTTGGCCGCGAACCGGGCCCCGTCGGCCTCGTCGGTGTTGAAGGCGTCGTAGTGGGGGAGGTACTGCTGCGAGTGCAGGTACCGGCCGACCTGCGGGAGCTCCATGTGGCAGATCGGTTTGCTTGTCAGTCCGGAAACCTTCCGGACCAGGGCCGGGAGGTCCTCCCGTGGGAGGTAGCAGGTCGAGGAGGTCCGGGTCTCGCTGACGACCCCCGCGCCGACGCCGACCACCGGGGCGGGGGCGAAGGAATCGGAGGCGATCCTTACGAGGTGGTCGCACTCGTCGTGGGTGAGAAAGCCGGCCACGCGGTAGATGGGCGGGTCGTTGTAGATCTGCTCGAGGCCCGGGTAGGAAGGATTTACCCCGTTGAAGACGGGGACCGGGGCCGAAGCCTGTTGCTGCTGCTGCTGTTGCTGGGCCGGGGGTGCGACCACCGGGTGGTGCTGGTAGTGGTAGTTTTGCTGCTGCTGCTGCTGCTGCTGCGCGTAGTGGTGCTGCCTGGAAATCATGGTCGGGGCGTCGATCGGTGTCGAGAACGACAAAGGGGAGACACGGCGGAGGGAACCAAGCTGCTGGCGGTCTGGCGATGCGGGGGTGGACCGGAAGGGTTGCAAGGCCGGTGGAGGCGCGATCGTGGATGAAGGGGAGAAAGCAAAGGCGGCAATCGAGGGGGAAAAGAGCGCTGGCCACAAAAGAGAAGCGCCAAGCAAGCGGGACGCCAATGCCACGATCCTTCTGCGGCTTCTCGGCGCCGCTGCGGTTGTTCTCGTGGGACGGAGGAAGGCTCCGATCGTGGTGGGAACAGCGGGGGTTGTCCTTCGGCTTCGACCGCGAGGTGTGGCACGGTTCATGGGGCGCCGAACGACACAATGCGATGCGATGGGAATGGCTGTTCACCGCAAGGATGGATGATGGGCGGGTTCCTGCCTTGGAATGCTACCGCACCGCACCGTACCATAGATGCCACCGCTACGATACTACTAGTATTACTAGTACTCGTACCGACTCAGCGTTTTGGGTCGTCCGTTGCTCCTCCCGAGCTCCCGTGTCGTGTTTGGCCCGTGATGATTTTCATTGGAGAAAATTGATGGCGGATAGCGTACGAGGTGCACGAGGTGCTACCATTTCTCGACCAAGTCATTGTGAGGCATTGGGCGTCAATATATTTTCGACTAAAACACCGACAGTGCTGCTTGTATGGTACCAGTACGTACGTACGGTAGGCTAATACTTCGTACTCGTAGTCGGAAATCGCGCCGGATGATTGATTCGATTGATTCGATTGGGTCGTTGCGAGCAAGGACGCAAGAACACTAGTATCATACCTTACAGTATGTAGTTATCGTACGTACTTACTATTAGTTACACTAGTACCGTACAGGAGTACGATGTGAAAGGACTTCCGGACGAACTTCCCGATCACGAGTGAGACTTTTTTTGTATTGGTCACTTTTTGAAAAAAAGACAATTGACACGCCCGACGCGGAGGATCCATGGGGGTTCTACAATTTTGAACTCATCGTTCGTCACCTTCCACACAGCAAGATTCAAACACAAACTCCTACTTCTATTTGATTCAGTACGAGTACGAGTACGCTTGGTACTATCCAAACCACCAGACCAATAGAGAACGATCGAACCCGAACAAACGCAAACAAGCACTACCGAAGACCAGAACCAGAACGCCGCTGCGACAGAGCCCGGAAGGACAACCAGCGGAGGCGAAACGAAACGAAACGAAACCCGGAGCCGAGTTTCTGCCGCGGATTGTACGGTGCGAGTACGAGTACTTGCCGAAAGAATACGAGTACTCCGGTGCGACCCGATCCCTCGCACGCCATGAGCGGAGAAACCACCCCCGCGCACCATTGCGATCAGCAGCGGTCGTCGCTGCTGGCCGAGGCCCTGGACCTTCCGGTGCTGGACCACCGTGCAAGAACGGAACAGCAACAGGAACAGCGACAAGGGAGCAACCCCTGTGCCGACCGGCCTCCGCCGTCCGCCTGCCCGGGGCACTCCGGCAATCCTTGTGCGGAGGAAAGCAATCTCCTCCTCTCGCAATCTCCCGCTCTGCTGCCGGAGGCAGGAATGACGGCGAGCTTCGACACGCCCGTCATCAGGAACCACAAGCTCCGCCCCCCCGCCGTGCCCCCGTCGATACCGACCACCCCAACGACGACCATGCCCACGAACCCCGTCCCGATCGCCAAGCACCCGCAGAACGGCCACACCGAGACCTACCTTCCGGACGACACGGCCCCCCGCCACTCGGACTTTACGGTCCCGACCTCCAACTCGGGGGAAAGCCCAAGGGCCGGCTGCGAGATCCATCGCCTGGAACCCCCGATGGCCATCGCGCCGGGTCGGGCGGCGCTTCCGAACCCCGCCCCCGGGAGCCAGCGGAGCATCCTGGGGAGCAGCGTCGGCAAGAAATACCACTGCAGCGAGACCGACCGCAAACACTTTGTCCGGATCCTCCCGGGGCCGTCCGCGGGGGCGCAACGGGGGGACTACGGGAGCATCATGCCGCCGCCCCCGCCGGTGGTGGCAACAACTACGGCGGCGGCGACGACGACGGCGACGATGCGGGGCCCAGGAGACGAGCCCGTGCGGGTGCCAACGGACAAAGCCGGCGAGAGGGGACGGCCGGCCTTGTCCACGGCAACGGGCGGTACGGACCGGTCGTCCCGGATGCTGCCCAAGGTGCTGCCCGCCGAAAAAGACAACGGCAAATACGACAACTACTGCGACCAAATCGAACGGGTCGAACACCAGCTCACAAAGGGTTCCACGGGTGCTTCTCGCGACTTTTGCCACCCGGAACGCCAGAGCCTCCTCTTCGAAAGCAACAGCAATTCGGAGTGTTCGATACACCAGCACTGCGACGGCATCGACGGGGATGGCAAAGGCAACAGCAATAGCAATAGCAACAGACACCACTACAGCTCGCTCCACAAAAGCGTGCACGCACAGTCGCTGCTGGTGGGACTGGCCTTTATGGTCATCTGGTTGCCCAACAATGCCATGGCACCCAACCTGACCCAGATGGCCAAGTCCTTTGACATGAACGACGCCGAGCGCGACCTGTACCTCGGGTCCTACTGCGCGCTGGCCCTCGGGGTCTTTTCCCTGCCGCTCTCGGGATTCATCGGATTCATGGCCGACTTTCACTCCCGGAAGAACCTCTTCCTGGCCTGCTGCGTTTTCGGGGCCCTTTCGTCGGCCTGGACCGGGTGGTCCCCCAACTACCCCAGCCTGTTTCTGGCGCGCCTGTGCAACGGGGGCTGCATGTCCGGGAGCGTCCCGGTGGCCTTTAGCCTGCTAGGAGACCTGTTTTCCAAGGAAGAGCGCAACGCCGCCAGCTCGGGACTGACCTCCATGATGGGCATGGGAATCACGCTGGGCCAGATCTATGCGGGCGAGGTCGGTCCAACCAGGAGCTGGCAGTATCCCTTTTACGCCTCGGCGTCGGTGCAGCTGGTCATGGCGATGATGATTGCCCTGTGGGTCGAGGAGCCGATCCGGGGCGGCAAGGAGCAGGCCCTCCAGGGGGTCTTCAAGTCCGGCAACAAATACGAGCGCCAGCTGACCATGAAGGGCTTTGCCGACACGATGCGCAAGAACGCTTCCAACTGGATCCTGCTCTGGTACGGATTCTTCACGAGCCTCCCTTGGGGCATTGTCTTTGTCTTTTTGAACGACTATCTCAGCCAGGAAAAGGGCTTTTCCGTCCAGGAGGCTACCTTCTTGGTCATGCTGTTCGGTGTCGGGTGTGCCATTGGCGGACTCACCGGCGGCTATCTCGGACAGCTCTTCATGAGGGGAAACCGGAGCAACCTGCCGCTGTACATGGCTGTGTCTACTTTTTTGGGGATCTTTCCCTTCCTCCTGCTGCTCAACTCGGAATTCCCGAACCACAACGGGATCCGGTCCAAGTTTTACTCGGTCCTCGGCGGCTGCATCGCGTCCCTTCCCTCGGTCAACGTCCGGCCCTGCATCATCAACGTCAACCCGCCGGAGTCGAGGGGGGCCGCCCTCACCGCCGCCAACCTCTTCGTGACGCTGGGACGCGGCATCGGCCCCTGCTGCATCACCCTGCTGGGGTCCGTCTTTTCCCTGAGTCGCCAGAGCTCCTTCAACACCACCCTGCTGGTCTTCTGGACAATCGCGGCGGCCCAGATGCTCTTTCTGGCCAAGACGCTGCCCGAGGACCAGGACCGGATGGAGGAGGCACTGGCCCGGTACGCGGCCACCGCACAGGGCGGCAGGGGAACCACCTGCGAGGACGGCGATCCGCAGCAGGACGAGGAAACCACGGCGAGCCCCCTCGGCCGACGGGCCGGGTCCGATGGATCCCTCGAGCCCATCACGCCGGAGCGCCGGAGGTCGGTCCCCGCCGGGGAGGACGACGGGGACGAGGCCCTGTACAGCTCGTACAGCTCCATGGTGAGCAGCCCGCCGGCCCAGTACATGACCATCGACCGGAAGACCGCCCGGCAGTCCATCCAGTTCGTCAGGCTCGGCATCCAGGAGTTCGGCGACGAGATCACCTACCGGAACACGATTTGCCGCGGGTGCGACACGATATCGCCCTGCCCGTCCCAGGACGACCTGCCGACGACGTCCGTCGCCGCTGCCGCCATTGCGGCGTCGGCCCTGTTGGACGACCACCACGACGAGGGGGACGACGGCGCGAGCATCCTCCAGGAGGACCACGACACCACCATCCCGGAATCGGAGATCCAGCGGCGCCGGGACCTGTGGAGGAGCCGGCAGCAGGAGCACCGGTAGCGAACGAGCGGGCGAGAGGACCGCACAAAATCTGCTAAATCTTGTTAACAGTATTGTAAGCCTTTCCTTTGCCATTCTTGTTTTGTCAACAGGTGCAAAATTCTGCATCCCTTGTGTTCATATGTTGTTTTCTACTGTGACTACTATACAAATATTTTCCATCACGTCCTAAAGGAATTGGCAACGTTCTGCTATTCGGTTAAAAGTTTGTTTGTGGTTATCCTGGTCAAGAAGAAACGTAGAAAATTTTGGTTCCTAAGAGAACATGTCGTTCCGAAGCAAAGTCATTTGAACTCGATAAGACTGCTTTGTGGACTGAAGCACTGGAGTTCAACCTCATCAATCAGCAGTTCCGTAAATCGTATTGTTCTGTGTGCAACCATTCATAGGAAGATGGACCCAGTCGAAGAGGATTCTTTTATGAATTGAATGTATCCAGTGCATTTCGACGGCGGCAACTTTGGAGACTTTGTGTGGAATACTTTCGGATGATTTCGTGTTACATCGCGCGTATGCAGCTGATTTATCTTTAATGTCGTGGTTTTGTCACAGAGATCGCTGGCTCTTCTACAAGATCTTTCGAACGACTGAATTATGATAAAATTAGCCATATAAAGGACTGTGGTAGTCCCAGCCAAGATTCGATAACTTGAAATGGCGACCTACATCAGCGTAAAGTACCCGATCGAGTTCCGTTCGTTCTAGAATGGCTGCCATTGTTTCATTCGACAGGTCGTGCGCTTTCATTCCAACATTATGGTTTGGGTTGTTGTCAAAGACCTTGAAAGGCTTGTTATCTCTGCCTACACGTGGGTCGTTTAACACAATCTGCGTCAGCAGTGGCAGGGTTTCGTTTGACAATTTTTCTGTCGTTCCAACCCAGTCCATGGAGTTAAACAAAGAATTGTGTACCTCATCGATGGCGCAAGGTTGGCGAGATTCAGCGAGATCTTCCCCATTTATGAGATCCTTTCTCCACACCAAAACTTGGGGTGCAGCACGCGTTGATTGAGGATCTGAACTGAGCATTCTACACTGGCGATTGTTTGCGTAATAAGATTTCAAGAAATTCGATTCTGTTGATGATAAAGGTTTGAACGGATTCCAAGCGTCGTGGTCATTTCGAGAAGGTGGTGGGCGACCACAGTTGTTTCCCACGTGGAAAAAGTTGAAGAAAGAGAGCGCATGGGCAACGGGCTCTCGGACCAACGTAAAGGAGAAGAATCCGACCCCACGTCGATCTGCCTCGGCACGCCACCTGTCTATCGTGGACGACAATTCCACCAGAGATGGAAAATCTGGAGCGGGATCTTCTACGTGAAGCTCCAGGAGAAGCAACTTCTTGTTCTGTGAAGCCAGGTCCAACGTTTTCAGGCAGTCTCTTTCCCAATCGACGTGCTTTCGAATCATGGTGAAAAACATTTTAGCTGGGCTTTTCAGTGCCCTCTGATATATATTCAGCTTAGGCTTCCTTTCATCCTTGTCCTGCTCGACCTCTTCTTTGAAGTTGTCTTGGTCCTTTTTAGCAATTTCGTGAAGAAGTTTGCCAACGGTGGATCCACCGGTTTTATAAACGTGGTAGAAGACAACAACGCCCCCATTGCTGAAGTCAGGAAGGGTTCCTTTTTGCCGGTGCGTGGGAACTTTTTCCCATGCGCTAGAAGCATCTCTATCGTATTTGAAGGAATCAAGTGAGTCTCCAAAAGAAAGAGATGTCTGCTGTATAATAATATTATCATCAAACTTTCCCGGAACGCGCAAAACCGTGAAAACGGCGAGGAGGGAACTAGAGATCAGAAAAACTTTGAGAGGCCAACCAACGCGTCGGTTATGCATGAATTTTCTTAGCACCATATTCGTCAACCAGTCTAATAGGATACGATTTGAATTCTGGTGGTAAAGCTTTGTTGCTGTTTTGGGCGTTGATGAAAAGTAACACTCTTGATGTATTGTTTCCTAGGATCAATCTTTGAACTGCAGTTGTGCAGTAACTTGTAGAGCACATTAAATTTCGACGCTTTCGCATTTTCTTTGGAGCTGCCGTAAGTAGAGATCATGGTACGAAAGTTATTTACAAGTCGCCATTTCTTCGAATCAAAAATATTTACTCGGCTTCCTTGCGCGCAACGCACGTGTCAGCTAATTGCGCAACAAATGGGGTGCATGCTAGCTATGGAACGGCAACACAAAAAAGAGAAATCGCCAATTCCTCACACTTTTTGCAAGAGTCGAAAGAAGACGGTTTCGCCCGTATGCTCTACGAAACCTGTACAGGACAGAGCGGAATCAAATTTGCAGAAAAATCCAATCTAACGAATGCATAACGTATGACGAATTTAATTCATTTTCAAATCGAAGCGGGGTTGGACGGAGAGTACACCACCTACCAGAGTATTCATGCTTTCGTCGACTTTTCCAAAGATACAGGATATCTTGTCAATACCAAAGACACCATGGGTATGTTTCAATACTCAGAGTCAATACCAAAGACACCATGGGTATGTTTCGATACTCAAATCGGAAACTCTTCTGTCCAATGTTTGAATATAAATCTGTTTGCCGATTAGCGCCGTAGGAATCCGATTCGCGTTGGATTTTTCCAGTTCCGGCTTCTTTGGAAGATATCGCGTTTGACCACAAAGAATCGATCAGATTCAGAACCCTTCAAAGCGAGCATTATGAGAGAATCTTCGTTTCTTTGAATACGGTCAAATAATCTTAAGCTACCAATAGAATTAATTCGTAGATACGTAGAGATGAGTTACGTACATAGACTGACGTTTCGAAATATTCCATGTAACCGCATCTCAACGAACAAAATAAATATCGGTACATGTATCAACCAGATTTTCTTTACCTAACTGCGGTTCGCAACGAAGACGCACATCCTATGGAGCTGTATATTACTGGAACTTATTTTTTGGCTCAAACGGTGCTGATTCTATTTCCGTAGTTATGTTTCGCATTTTAACTTTATGATCAATGATAATCATGAGTTGGATTACATATTCAATCCATTGAACACTTTTGGAGGCGTACCCTCGTCCTCAATGATTTCTTTCAATATTTCGAGAATAGAAAGAAAAGATAAAATATGATTATGTTAGATCCATTCATACGACACTCAAATTTGAGAAGAACGACAAAAAAGAAAACAAATCGACTAAATTCACGTACCCAGGACTTTGTTCGCGGCCTTGGCATCCGTCAAACTTGCGACACAAACATCGGCAACCAGATCTCTCGAAATTTCACCACTGTTCAAGGAGTCTTCACCAGATACAATCAATGCTCCGGTGGGTGGTTTGGCTTTCAATCCACCGGGTCGTACGATGGTGTAGTCGATGCCACTGCTTTTCAAGTAGTTCTCGGCAACCAGTTTCTCGTCCTAGTAGACAAAAGTATGGTTCCGGGGGATACGGGCAGAACAAAGTATGGTTCAGCGACGCTGCTTGTCAGTTTTCGACAAAAAATGTGAGGAGACATTGAGGATTCAAGTTGTCAGGGAACTTACCAAGACATTTCCGAAAGCGTTCGTGATGACGAAACCGGGGGATTTTTCCTGTCCCCAGTTTCGGCCGTTTGTCAAAATACTAGAGACTAGAACTATCTTCTTTACTGTTCCGGTTTTCTTGGCGGCGTCGATCAACTTGATGGTTCCGACGTTGTCCTGTGAAACAGAGCAGGAATGGAAACGATTGATTAGCAATATATTAAATGTTGTGCAATCAATGGATCCTTACCGTGGCAATTCAGATAATATCAATAGCAAGCGAATAGACAAATCGAATGATTCGTACCACTTCGTGAGCAGCCGCATTCATTTTCAAGGGATTTCCTGGGATGAAGCCGGTGGCAATCACCAAAGATTCGGCACCCGCCATGGCCGAAGCCAGATCGTCAACGGAATCCTTGACGACGTCCAATCGCTTCAGAGCAACGGCCGAGGTATCGACGGAGGCGACCTTTTGTATCATCGCACCGCGGACGACGGTCGACGATTCTCCCAGCGCATCCGCCGCCTTCTCCGGGTTGCGGACTCCTCCGACGACCTGGAGATTGCCGGCACCGGCCAATCGTTCCAGGACGCGGCGGCCGGTCTGCCCCGTGGCACCTGCGACCACGACCTTTTTCGCCGCGGGCGCATCTCCATCGGCGGCAAAGGCAACCGGAACGCTAGAGGCGACCGAGGTCATGGCGACTCCGGCAACGAGTTGCGCCGCTTGGGCCAGGGCATCGCGGCGACCGACAGCCTCGTCGTTGGAGGAGAGAAATAGGGCCGACGAGGGAGAAACCGGATTCTGCAGGGCCGCCGGAGCGAATGCGATCGTAGAGTGAGCAAGAGCTGCTACAGCGACGCAGAAATAAGAAGGGGAGGCAAGCATTGTGTTTGTTGAGCTCTATGGTGAGAAAGAATGAGACTGACACCGATGTAGTTGGTGTGGTTTTCCTGATCCAAAATCGCACGGTATTTTAGTACTCGTGCTCGTACTTGTGGGAGAACACGGTTCGTAGAAGTGATGTTCACTGATCATTTGCAATCTGCTCCCCCTCTTTGTGACGTCATGTAACATCGTAAGCGCAAGGGTATCTTTTCCAAAGGTTTTATCGTACTTTTGATAAATATGATACATATCTATGTTACATATGCTTATTTTTATCAGCTAAAATACGAAGTTCTGGTACAGTACAGTACAGTACAGTACAGTACAGTACAGTACAGTACAGNGTACAGTACAGTACAGTACAGTACAGTACAGTACAGTACAGTACAGTACAGTACAGTACAGTACAGTACAGTACAGTACAGTACAGTACAGTACGGTACGGTACAGTACAGTACAATACAAATCGTACAGTACGGTACAGAACTTCGTATCTGCTAAAAGAAATGAAGAAGATTTTAGATTTTTTCTTCCGCAAATGAAGAAGATTTTAGATTTTTTCTTCCGCACAGCTCCGCCATGCCGTGTCGGAAAGATGTTTAGTCAAAAGAATATAAACCATGGAAGATATCCTTTTAGCAACCAAGAGAGACGCCTCTCCATCACAAGACCGCATTATTTTTTCAGTCCTTCGTTATGTCGTCTCCAACAACAGCAGTTGCTAAGCAAGACCCCGCGTACAAGACAACCAAAGCTCCCATCGAGGGGAAGGTCTACTTCAGTTACGCCGACATCCACGATACCATGTCCCGGCTGGTTCCAAGAATCAAGGCCTTCGATCCTTCTGTCATCATTGCCATTGGCGGGGGTGGCTTCATTCCGGCGCGAATCCTGCGGACCGAACTGAAGATACCGATCCTGGCTGTCTCGCTGGAGCTCTACGATGACAGCACAAACACGGCCCGTTCGTCAGTGAAGAAAATCCAGTGGTTCGACGAAGCGTCCGAGGTGGGGAGTCGGGTCCGGGGCCAGAAGATTCTGGTGGTAGACGAGGTCGATGACACCCGCACAACGCTCCAGTATTGCGTCCGTGAGCTCGTCCGAACCAACGCACCGAAGGAAATCGCCGTGGCGGTCGTACACAACAAGCTCAAGCCAAAACGGGGAATCCTTCCCGAGAACGTCGTTTACATGGCGGGCACCGACGTGGGAGACCACTGGAACTGCTATCCGTGGGATGCGGCGGCGTATGGGAACACCATTTACCAGCACGAAGAGCTGGCGAGGAAGTGTAGCAGCACTGGAAACAGCGAATGACCACTCCAGCATGGGATGACAAGAGAAACGATCAAAGCAGGCTCTCCAGCTTATTTCCGTTGAAGAAAAGTCGAGACGAAGATTGAAAAAAACTTTTTCTAGCACGCTTGCTTAGCATTAGTCACTTTTTTTGGAGCATCGATGTACAGTATCGATGTAAAGTATGATTTGTTTCATGGGTTTCCAGTTCCTTCACTTTTCGTTCATTTATTTAGAGACAAATGCTTGAACTTGATTTAACTGCTCTGACTTATTCGTATACATTAATTTTTCTGAATCAGGTTCGATGCCCATTGCTGCAGCCCGCCGGCAAAGTCGAACGCGTTTCCATTTTTCGCGGGTGCTAGGTCCGCTTCTTCCATCACGGCGGGCAGCCACCGATCGATCACTTTCTCGGAACCGTACCAGCGGTCCGTGGGAAAGGTCGTCCCGGCCTCGTTGATCGAGTGAAGGACGTCAGGGAGAACGATCTGCCTCGATCCCTCCAACTGGGTCCAGTCGAGGGGAACAACGCCGTCGCCGATCAGGTTACCGTTCCCACTCACGGCCTTGTAGGAGGTAAACGCCACGCGGTTGGAATTCCCTTCTCCCCGCTGCTTATAGAACTCGTCGGCCTCGCTTCGCTCCTGATCCGTGTCGGCGTCCTTCTCGTCGTCCTTGCGCTCGTCTCCGACGATTGCGGATCCGCCGATCGATACGTATCCGATCCCCTCGTCTTTCAGAAAGGCCCCCGGGTAGTTCTCGGCCGTGTACCTGAGGGCCCCGCGAGTCACGCAGGTAGATTCGTCCTCCGGGGCAGCGTGAATGGCCCCCATGGTGACCAGGCACCGGATGCGGTCACTCGTTCGCACGGGGGACGACGGTTCTTCGCCAGCACCGCCCTCCGACCACAGGCCGTCCGCCATGGCCGCACGCGCCAGCCACCCGCCCGCGCTGTGCCCGATCACCAGGACCTTTTGCTTCCCGGAGGTGCTTTCCCCGGCCTGGTTGTCGTAGGCCAGGTCCACCGTCTCCTTGAGGCGCTTTACGTMCCAGCCGTATCCGGGGCCCGTAGGCTTGGCGGTTCCCAGGTAGAAACCGGGAATGTCGAAAAGGCCCCCTGCCACACGGATCCAATCGCTCCGCTGGACCGGAACGATATAGATCTGGGAGGGGTCGAAGCCCCTCCGTGCCAGGACGGACTTCAGGCCGACCTCCTCCGGCTGCTCCAAAGGGGCCACGTAATCGATGCTGTCGTTGCCAAAGCCGGGGCAGATGACCACCGGGCAAAAGGCGGTGGCTTGCTTTGCCGCCAGCAGAAGGACGGCCAAGAAGGCGCCGAGGACGGCCTTTGACAGGAGGCGGGTGTAATTGTGGTGGCTGTGTCGTTGCGGTGTCGTCATGGTCGTGCAGTCCGGTGGTCTCTGTTCTTCCCTATCGGTGTCGGTGCTCTGTGCCCGGATCGGGGCAGGCCGCAAATTTCTTTGTTTCAAAAGATAGAAGAACTCTACGGTATTGGTTTGGTGCGAAAGAAATCTCGTTGGCAGGTGGGATTTGCCGGATTTGCTTCGTCATCAGAATTGGAAAGGTACAAGGTACCATGTGGTACCATGAACACTATGTACCTAGTTTCTTGCCCAATGTCTGACCGTCGCCCATCTTCGGTACAAGAATCCGTACTTACCGGTTACCTTACAATTGAGAATTTCTGTATCTTCTGTTTCAAATTGACTTCACGCGCATGCACGCACATCCAATCGATTTCAAACCGTGCCATTCGGCGTCTAAGAAACCCATTCAAATCTCAGAGCAAAAAATCTTCCCCCCAATGAGATCCATGCATCCAAGGTCTTCGGCCAATTGTCTTTGGCCGTCATTGCAGCGCACGCTTGGAACGCGCGTACCTTTCTCACAGAAAACAAAGTTAGAACCCCTCGAGACAGTCAGAAAATGCCGTCAATAAACGTCGAGGGAGATGACTTGCATCAACCCGATTTGCTCCACAATAAGTACGGTTCGTAGAAATCTGGCAGCAGCGGCTCTTACTTATTTGTTCTTTTTTCAACTCTTGTCGCACCGATACAACGTATGTACTATTGACGCCTCCACAGGAGAACAAGCAAGTTCAAGAACTTCTACGGCACTCGCTTTGGACTGAACTCGCATCGAGAACCTATTGTCGCCTTTATAACCTTCGAACTTCAGTACAAATATCTATCTCTACCTAGGTGCTGCAACTCAAGTTTGTGATCCTAAAGATAGAGTAAACTACAGTAAGCTACGATCGAGAGCGTAGCAAGCACGAAACCGATAACCAAGACGCCATCTAGTTTTGGCCATCAACAGAGAATGATAGGAATAAAATACATCAACAGCAACAGCATGTTAACGATAGATCCCATGACCACGGTCTCCCCAACAAACGGCAGCGATGAGGCTCTTCTACACACAGACAACAACGACGGCGACAGCCCGGAGAACACCGCGAAGAAGCCTTCGCTCCTTCGGAACCAGTTGTTGCGGCGGACGACCACTCGTTGCACGAAGCACGTATCGTCGCCGGAGGCTGCAGAACGAATGGCTTTAAACTCCGTAGCGATAGAGGCAGATACACCTTTTGACGAAACCCAAAAAGACGCTGAGTCGAACTGCGAGGCTGTTGAAAGCATCGAGAAATCGAACAGCGAACCAATCGATATGGAGTCTGCAACGCACACAAAAGTTGAAGACAACGAGGAGTCCCACAGAACTCCCGAAAACCCTGGTGGCGTCGAGGAAAACGACGAGGCTATTCCTGGCACTGCAACGATTCTGGAAAGTGGTTTTGCGTTCCCTAGTCGAGTAGAAAATGATGAAGTCGAGGATAACGATACCAAGCACGAGGAAGAAGGCGTTGGGGAGGGAGAGGCTGCCAGCGATCCAGGAAATGCTCTTGATATCTCCGACATTGTAAGCGAGGAAGGTGACGAAATGGGCGACGATAGAGATAACGTTGAGGAAAAGGAACACAAAGCAGAAGCGGAACCACAACAACCACAGCAGTGTGACGATAACGAAGAGGAGTGCAAGGCAGAAGCAGAACAAGACGAGCCACAGCCAAGGCCAAAGCCGTCGAAACAAAGTCTACCTCCTGCAGCTAGCACGGGATCGACCGTTTCTACTACCAACCTTTCCATTGTCGTGACGGGACACGACATAGTGGTCGAATACCATGACGACAAGGATGGAGAGCACAAAGAAGCATCGCCCGGCGACTCTGTCCTGCAGCAGTCTGCCCAAGGTGCTCAGGCTGCAGCAACGCCAACTCCAGGTTCCAATTCGATCATCTCGACCCTGTTGTCTCCGTTTACCGTCGCGCAACCACCTGTTGCCCCGGCGAAAGGTGCAAGCACCGCCTCCTCTGCTCGGTTGCAGGAGCCGCAGCGTCGACCCAAGGGCATCATGAAACGTCCCAGGGATAGCAATATCACCTACCACCATCCTAGGCGCCCACTGCCTCCGCCACTGCCCCCTCCCGGATTCAAGGGCAAGATCTCCTCCCTATCTTGGTCGACCGATGATACAAACAGCAACGATGCTCTGCATTCTTCAACAAAATCCACGAAACGGAAACGGCGAGTCTCCTTTGACGAGGTTTCGCTGTCGAAGCAGTCACAGATGTCGCTTCTCCGGCGCCAAGCTAGGTACAGAGAAAAGCACAGCATCTCCGGCATCCTGACCATGACGCTGCCCGTTCTCCTTCCCTATCTCATCGCGGTGTTGATTCTTGTGGCATCGTCCATGGTTCCCCTGCCAACCCCGGCGGCAAAGACGAACGCCACTCCGCACGAACTCAAACCACGCTCGCTCCCGGGCCTCGATCCGGGGAGCGACCACGCGGTCGGCGGCAAAACCACCCCCATCTTTGACATTGCGTCGCGCATGTGGGACCAGAGAAAGAAGTCTCTGCAGGACGCGGTGGCGCCTGCCGGGATCCGCAAGCCGGAACCCCGAACGACCGGCGTGCCCGAATCCGAGGTGGTGGCCGCGGACGCCGTTGCGGAGTCGATCGATTGGGAGTTCGACGACGATGCCTTTGCCGAGTTCGACGAGAGTGGTGGCCAGGTTGCGGCAGCGACGACCCAAGCCTATTCGGTGCTATCGAAGAATCCCTTCGCCAGGGCGATCGGTGGCCTGTTCCGGCTCTTGTTTCGCAGACGTCGGAACTAACCCAGCGGAGAGATCTTGGGTCTTTGTCGAGTGCATGGTCACGGCCACCCAATAGTGTAGGCACTGTGTGTACCACACGATGTGTGGTGCGTGCCGCACCCCCGTGGCGCTTTTGTTCCTCCAGGGAAAGGAGATCGTGTTGGCACATGCGTCGACCGACCAAGGGAGCGTCAAACGATGCCTGACCATACCAATTCAGCAGACTAGGATGTTGGGGTACAATGAATTACACTAGTGACGATAAGACCACTGTACGTCGTTATGATTGGAGCAATCGAGCAACTACGAAGTTGTACTGCTACTATTTCTACAGTACACTGCACTTACCCAGGGGAACCCAATCTAGCGAATGTACAAACAAGCTCGAAGATACTGCATTGATTGTGTACGCAATTATCGTTTGAAAGTCCCAAAGAGTATAATATCATTATAACCTAATGTAACAGTACCATACTCGTAAGATTTCCTCAATCAAAACATTACTCGATTAGCAGTACTGGGTACGTACTACTTACAGTAGTTGGTTCTGTGGATGGAGGGACTTGCTAGAAATTCTCCATTTCACTCGGTAATGTACTTATTTGTACCAGGTACTGTATGTACGTTCCTGTAGAGAAAAGAATTTATCTGAAAATAAACGTGATTGAATCAATCATGAGTTTCGTTCCTTTCCTACTGGTCAAACAGTACGTAGGTACGAAGTACTTCTACTACCTAACCTACCATACCGGTACGAACCATACCGTACGGTAGGTTGTGGTTAGTGGTGCAATCGCACGTTTCATTTTGCACCAATTGTTGCTTTGTACCTTACGCATCATCGTTTCTATTGACGTTAGGCGTACTGCGTACGTACCGTACGGTATCGTACGATTCGAAAAAGTCTCTTGTCGAAAGAAAACCGAGAAATTTTCTGATGCAAGGGAGCTGGTCTAAGAAATCGTGCTTGACCATTGCAACGGTCTGACAAGTCGGTTGGTTGTATCGCAAGGAGAAAAGCAGACGCGTCGTGAAACACCATCAATATGAGTCAGGAAGGATGGAAACCAACAGGCAACAAGGGCGGAAACGGCAGGCGTGGAAACAGAGGCGGTAGAGGTGGCAGAGGTGGCAGGGGAAAGCACGGTGGAGGCCGTGGCCGCGGTGGGAACGGCCAAAGCCCCAGGAGCTACGGTGACCACAAGGGAAATCGACCACAGCCCCGCCCACCACCCCTCCCTAACAAGAAGAAAAATGGAGAAAAGGGAGCGGACGCCCACACCGTCTCCGAGAAAACCCGCATTCAGTTCACCCAGGTGCTGATGGACTTTCGCGAAGACGACGACAGACGACGCTTCGAGTTCCCCGCGGACCTGACCAACACGGAACGAAAATTCCTGCACGAGCTGGCGTCCCAGCTGGGGCTGAAGAGCAAGTCCTCTGGAAAGGGAGAGAACCGGAGGATCGTGGTGACGAAACCCGACGACAAAATTAAAAAAACCGCCGGGGGGGAAAGCCTCCCGCTACTCAGGCTGGGAAAGGGAGGTACCAGGGCACTGGCGCAGCACGTTTTGAGATTTCCCCCCACGCGTACGGAACAACTGGAATCGAAAGAAACGGGCGCTTCGCTGGTGGAAGCGATGGCATCGCAGCAGAACACACAGAACGAAGAGGGTGCCAGTCCGAGCGAGGACAAAGAGGTACTGGATGCCCTGAATCGATTGGGTTTGGGCGGTGGGCATGGTTCTACCGGAGATCATGCTTCAAAGAAAATTCGTTCTCCAAACGTGGGAAGACGCGTTGACGTAAGTCGTCGCAAAGAAAGACACGCATTCTATCAGCAACAGAAGCAAAACTCAAAGGACTACAAGCAAATGCTCAAGAATCGATCCAAGTTGCCTGCGTACAGTCGGGAAGCAGAGATTGTCGCCACCGTGAGAGCAAATCCCGTTACCGTCATTCAGGGTGGTGAGTAATATAACGCAGCAACCACAGCACAGAGTCTGATATTGTGGCGTCCAGCATTTGCTTGATACACATGATATTAAGTGTGTCTTACGATTTTTTTACATCTAAATTTTAGAGACCGGGTGCGGAAAGAGCACACAGTGCCCTCAGTTTATTCTTGATGCCAACCCTACAGCTAGCATTGCTGTCACTCAGCGTAAGTTCTCTGTCTTATGTGCATCTTTCTTCGTGCATCTCCCAAACTGTTCAAATGAACCTCACATCTTTCCATCCTGGAACAAAATCAGCTCGTCGGATCTCCGCCATATCCATAGCGGAACGTGTCGCACAAGAACAATGCTTGGTGTCTTCGTCCGATGCAACGAGGGGCATCGGATCGCAGATCGGATACCAGGTTCGACTCGAAAGTGCTTGTAGCAAGGATACTCAACTGTTGTTTTTGACACCAGGGGTCTTGCTGCGCAAACTTCAATCCTCTCCGATGCTGTCAGAATACACCCACATCATTATCGACGAAGTCCACGAACGGGACAAATACACAGAGTTCTTGTTGATCCGGTTGAGAGATTTGTTGCCCCTCAGACCCGATCTGAGACTGATTTTGATGAGTGCTACGCTGCAAACGGAGGTATTGATGAACTACTTTTCTCCGGGTAACGAAAGCAACACCAGTAGCAACAGCGACTTTTACAGTGTTCATCCCCCGGTCATGTTGAGCATCGAAGGTAGAACCTTTCCAGTCCAAGAATTCTTCGTGAGTTTTCACCAAACATTTTTTAACCACGGTATGTTTTAGATCAAACTGCTCTTATTGGCTTTCTGACCTTTGATTGCTTTCTTCCGTACAAAAGCTTGAGCATGTTCTCGAGTTAACTGAATATGTGGATATCGATGCTTTCGAAGATGACGACAACGACGAAGCGAAAGGAGATTCGGTTGTTGAAAAGCGTCCAATGTCCACTGATCAACTGAATGCAGCTCTGATCAGACATCTATCAAACGGTGGAGCAAGTTCTTCCTCGCCGATTGACATGCCAGCAACGGGAATAACTACAAGGTGCGCACTATGCGGCAAAGGATTTCTTGGTCCAATCCACCTCGCTGAGCATATGGCAGTCTGTACCGGATTGATGGAAGAGGATATTGTTCATGATGAAGAGGACGATGTCGTCAAGCCAGCAGCGTTTTCCACCCCACAATTCCTAGCCGTTGAAAAGAATAGCAGTTTTGCCGATGCAAACTTTGAGGATTACGATGACTATGATATCGACGAATCTCAAGCGGTTGCTAATTTCGTCTTTCAGGAGCTCCCAGAGTCCCCGGAACAAGATCTTGTGGAAGAAGAAAAGAAATGGGACGGTGAGGGTATTTTTGAGACAAATGTTGCGCAAGAAGTAGTTTTGACAAAGAAGCAAGAGAAATATTTGAAATGTTATCAAACAATGTACGATGACGAGCAGATCAACACAGAACTCTTATTGGAGATCCTTCACTATATCAACAAAAGCTCGCAAGGAGAAGGAGCTATCCTTGTATTTCTACCCGGATGGCAAGAAATCTCCGAGGTTAGTATGCTTTTGGAAAATACCATACCATTCAGCAATCGTTCCAAGTTTTTGGTTCTGCCTCTACATTCTGGAATTCCAAGTCAAGACCAGCGCAAGGTTTTACGACGACCGCCAGCAGGAAGTCGAAAAATCGTATTGAGGTATGTTGTTTGAGTAAAGCAGTGTGCAACAACATTGCGGTGAAGAATTATTCTAATTATCGTCTCTCACAAAAATTATTTTCTGTGATGCCATGACATTAGTACAAATATTGCTGAAACATCGCTCACAATTGATGATGTGGCATTTGTCATCGACAGTGGACGTAAGTGTTGTTGTTTGTAAGTATTATCTATCTACTTCAAATTTCTTTGTACTAAACGTTTCGGTCTCTCTTAATTCGGATTGTGATGCCCATGGTTGGGCAGGAGCAAAAGAAAAAGATTATGATCCTCATTTGAAAACATCTACTCTTCAACCAGTATGGATCAGTCAGTCTTCTTCGAAACAGCGGAAGGGCCGAGCTGGTAGAACAAAAGCTGGTGTTTGCTTTCATCTTTTCTCTAGCACACGGCACCAATCAATGCGTCAATTTGTGGAAAGCGAATTGCTCCGAACTCCGTTGGTAAGTTTTGCAACGCTGCGGTGGTTTCTACCAATATCGCATTTGCATACGAACTCATCAAGATGATGTTATTGCACTCTATTAAAGGAGGAAATGTGCTTGATGACCAAGAAATTAGGTTTGGCACCAGGAGGGCCGGAAGATGAGGACGGAATTCCAGCATTTTTATCGAAAGCTATCACACCACCTCACGTTAAATCTATCAACAATGCTCTCGAGTTATTGGTCAATCTAGGGGCAGTGCTTCCAGAGACGAATGATTTGACCACCCTTGGGGAGTGTCTCTCTGTTTTGAGCTTAGAACCCCGTGTGGGTAAGATGGTGATATGGTCATATCTTTTAGGCTGTACCAAGGCTGCCTCGCAGATGGCTGTAGCAATGGCCTACAAGTCTCCATTTGTGTTACCTCCTCCTCATATGAGACGCGAGGCTGAAAAATCACAGTTGACTTTGAGTGACAACAGCGAAAGCGACCAAGTTACTGTTTTGAATGCTATCATCAAAAGAGATCAACTTATGAGGAAGTCAAAAGGCGCGTACAGAGCTTGGTGTCAACAGAATTTCCTTGGCGCTTCAAGTTTACAAATGATCGGCGATCTCCGCAAAAACTTGACGCGAGAATTATCTTCGCTGGGGTTTGCTGATCCGATGGGTGGCGGCTACCAGAATCGCCATAATAAGCAGCACGCATTGTGGCAAGCTGCAATCGCTGCAGGTCTGTATCCCAATGTGGCCACCCGCAAGCAAGGCGACGTAAATTTCTCGACGATGACAAATCGCAAGGCTAAGATTCATGTATCATCTGTAAACGCTCTCAAAGGCCAACCTCTAAACTCAAAGTGCCAGGTTCCAAAAGGTGAAATTGAATTTGTTTGCTACGGAGAGATGGTGAAGGGGTCTCATTTTTTTACCCTTTCGCAAACCACCCATCTTCCGTCAGTTCTGCCAATTTTATTGCTCTGTGGAACTTCTTTGAGCATTCAACCCATAGACGATGCAGAGCAGAAACATTCGATTTTGAATCTGGACGATTGGATCATTTTCAAATGTACCACCGACGTGGCATCTCGCCTTGTGATACTTCGCAAACGTCTTGAAGGTGCCTTTTGGAATGCCATAGCTAAGCCTTCTCAAGATCCTAGGCAATCACTGACACATATTGAACAAGATGCCATTGAAACGCTGGGGTTGGTCCTAGAAAGTGCTCTGAAATCCTCTGAAGTTAGATGAAGACTGATGGAAAAGCAACGCCAATAAAAATAACACTAGTTACATCACTGATTGAACATTTCTGCTTATCAAAGCCTTCCCGTCACAAGATTTGACAAGCATGATTCCTAGCCATTATGACGGTGCGACTTCGATCTCTATGAGATATCTTCCGGTAGAATTACTATCTATCTTCGGACTTTCACTGACTTTTCCATTCACTTTGAATGACATTACATTGTTTCCTACACCAGTGACATGAATATCTAGGATACAACCCCGGTATTTCACATTCAGTAGAGATATTGTGTCGTCCATTGCGAGTCCTGTACTCTTGCCGTCGTCCTTGCTCGGAGAAAACTCAATACCATCGGGTTGAAAATTCATTCCGAACACGCCCTTGTACACCATGCCGAGGTATCCGGTATCGCTCCAGAGCTGGCGTCTTCGTTTTGGAGGAAAGGACTTGTCCAATTCGTAAAATTCGGCAAAGGTGTCTTGCTGCTCGGACAAATCGACGAGACTAGCCATTTCTTGGGCAAAAATGTCCAGTCGTCCGTGCCGTGCAGCAGCGAGTGCAAAGTATCCCGATACAACTGTAACAGCAAATGCAAAAACAAAGCGAAAGGAATAGATAACATCATTCGAGCGTTTATGTAATTTTGCAGGTTGTGAGCATTCTTGTTGTAATTCCAGCTTGATTTTCAAGACCAAGAAAACACGAGCGAACGAATTCCTGTCGAAATACTCAATGCATCTCCAAATACATTCTTAGTTCTTCTGGGTTTGCTACTCACATGGCCAGATTCTTCCGTTGTGATAACGCTGGGAAATGTGGTGGTCGTCGTCGTTCGGCCAATCTCCGAGGTCAAACCGTGGCCACAGCGACGGAACTCCCACCCCGGTGCGGTAGGTCCGTTCGAGGATCATCTTGACCCGGTGCTCGCTCTCAAATTCCTCCGAAAGCAGGGCCAGGGCGATGCCGAGCCCCTCCGTTTGTTCCACTAGGCGGCCATCTTCGTCTTCAAAGTAGGCATACAATCCCTTCCCTTCCATCCACAGCCGATCCCGGATGCTCCGTTTCAGGGCCTTGAATCGTTGCTTGAGGGCGTCTACGGTCTCGCTATTTTCCATCAGCAGTTTTCCCATTTTGTACGCATAGTAGTATCCATTGTAGTACAGAATATTTGTACTGAGTGCCTTTGTCTTTCCTACCAAAGTCCCGTTCATTCTGTACTTTTTTGGATAGCCAGAATTGGATTCCATAAACGACGAGCATCCACCAAAGAGAGCGTTTTCGAACGAGCGAGCGGGGTCTTTTCCTTCTATCAGTACCTGTTGCTCGGCCCTCAGCAGGGAGGAGATGGTCGTCTCGTAGGCCCATTCCAGGAAGGTGGTGTTGCCCGTGTAGAGGTACAGGTGCCAGGCACCTCGTGCGCCGACAATGGCGTCCGACAGGTTCGGCCAGCCCCCAAAGTGCCCGCACTTGTCTTGGTACCACACGGTAGCGTGAAAGGAGGAATTCCCGTGGGTCTTTTGGAGCTCGACGTCTTCCGTACAGGTTCCCAGGGATTGCCTTGAGACATCGGGCCGGACCAGTCCGCCCGCAAGCTCGACCGCATAGGCCGTGTCCCGGGTCCAGAGCTGGTCCCATCCGGCACCGGCAATAAAGAACGGAGACGTTGCGTTCCCATCGCTATCGCTGTACGCAATGTTGTTTTCGAGTTCGTCCATGGCCAGTCGATAGGCTCGATCGATCCGTTCGTTTCCGGTGTGCAGTTCGAACCAACTCATGCCATCGTCGTTCCTTCCGGATTCGCTCGTTGGTTTTGGCGTTTTTAGTGTCGGCGGTTGTGAGGGCGTGGCCGGGCCTTCTTTTTTTGCATCTTTGTTCTCTGCCTCCATGTTGTCGCTGTTATCGGCGTTGTTATTTGCAGCTTTATGTATGCTGTTACCATCGTTGTTCTTTCCATCCATACTTTTGCTGTTTCCATCGTTGCCCTTTCTATCAATGCTTTTGCTGTTTCCATCGTTG